TAAATGAATAATAAAAATTTGAAACAATCATATGTAAAATGTAATTGTAAGCTAGATGATTTATCTAACCATATCACCAATTCGAATAATACTTAAACTAAATCGATAATTTCGTTATTATTTCGAGTTTAAATTTGATTAAGTTCACAATATTATTATGTTTATATAATTTATTCGTATTGATTGTGATATCGCAATTAATTTATCAAATACTAATGCGAGTTCAAAAACCTCATGATGTCTACATCGATCCTCGTGATATTTTAATATTTATGTAATTCTTATATCAATTGAATTCTCAAAAGTAATTAAAATAATATCAATGTGTATTTCTTTTTAATTTTAATCCAATTCTATTCACGACAATGATATTACACGATCAAATAAACTGTGATGTATTCGTATCAATATATAAAATTTTACCAGTGGAGAACAGTCGTTACTATGCAAATTCGTCTATTAGAATATCACGACAACATTAATTACTTGAAAAAAAAAGAAAAAAAAAGGAAGAAAGAAAAAAGACAATTACGTTTAAAAATTCAGAATTAAATATAAAGAGTAACTATAAAAAAAGGTTGTGTGATAAAATTCTATGTAGATAAATTAATATTCTATGTTTCACATGTGATGGTATTAAAACAAAATATATTAACTATTAATGCATCGACTATAATAATTCAAAAATTAATTTTATGCTAAATAAATGAAAAATTTTATGATTAATTATTTTAGCACATAATTATTTATTATCCTTGTAATAAAAAAATAAGTCTTATATTAAAAATAATCAAATTAATTTGTTTAATATTTATATCCGTATTTTATTATTATTATTTCGAAAACAAATATATATATATATCTACTCATCTCTAAGCAATATCTAATGGGAACAAAAATTTATAAAGCTCATATTTTCATACTTCGTATTTACGTATTTTTATTTTCCATTAGGTAATATTTATAAAATTAAATTAACAAAAAGTAATATTTGTAAAATTCTAACGTCTAAGTTAGAGTACTTTATAATCTAATAGTGATCTTTTATATTATGTGTAAATATATAATTGCTTTTTTCCGATATAGTTATAATATTATTTTTACAATGCAAACAATTAAGTGCAACATAATGTCGCTACGGTCGTTATGAATTTTCAATAAGTCACATTTAAAATAAGTCAATATTAGATGTAACGGTGAAAAAGCGTATGTACTGCCAAATTTCAAAGTATATATTTGAGTTTATGTATCAATACGAGTAATATAGCCATATTATATAGGGGGGAAAGGTCAAGGTAAATACAATTTTAGTTACACGGAGAGAAATTTTTATGAGTTTATCCTTGAGCAATTTTCATGCACGACAAACTCTTTCTTATTGCCAACATTTTTTTCTCGAATCAAATGAAGTATTAATGAATCATTATATGGATATCATAAAAGCTTACGGTTATATATATATATATATACTTAATATACTTGTAAAAAGTATCATAAGCTAAATGGTACGATGCAATTAAAAGTTCTATTTATATAATAAATATCTTAATATAATCAAGAGTATGATTTAAAGAGTAACAATAGGAAAATGCTTTTCTACGAAAATTGTACTTCTAATTAATTAGTAATTTTAATATTTAAAAATATCGTTCAAATAATTTTCATTATTAATTCATTATTAATAAATATCTCGGCTTTTGAATCTCACATTTTAATATTGCATCATGAAGTAATTTATGTAGATAAATTGCAATATTATAGAGTTGGAAAAAGTTACTCCACAATATTTCCATAATTATCCTTGTTCTTATAAAGATAAATCTTCATAAATTTTTCTTACCAGTTTTTTTCACGCGTTTGTATAATTCATTTATATACGTCCCGTTATCCTAAGTAACACGAAAGTTAAATATCGAGCGATTCTCAAATATTTGACTGACTTTCATTAATCTCTTTGTTTATTATTTGATTATTATTCATGGCTTAATTCGACTTGCTCTGCTAACTAAGAATAAAAAACAAAAAGAATTCCCAGCAGGCTAGTCCGAATTAAAAGTCATTTCACAATCAGTAAATAACTCGTTTATCGTATTATCGGAATAAACTTTCCTTTTTCGTTGGTACACATCAGTAGCCGTAAGATGCCACTATGACGATCAGCAATGACGAATTGCTATTCGATAAAACCTGTTTCCATATTTGTCGGAAGGTAACGAGGCGCAACAGCCAAACTCGTAATTCTACGCTTATAAATTGTGTGAGTGGCCCACTTTTACCTTTTTCACATTAACTGGTCTCCCTAACAGGCTAACAGGCTAAAAAGGATTATGGCTTTACGTAATGTCACGCTCATTATTTATGTTATTTGTGCGCACGTACGCACATGCACATAGCGAGAAAGAGAGAAAGAGGGAGAGAGTGACATGTGTATGCTTTATATATCGGCAGTTTTAGAAATTAGTATTTGGTAAAAGAAAAATTTCTATAGTGTAGCATCATTTGTTTGTAACTAAATTTAAAGTAAATTATTTAAATATCTCCATTTAAATTCATTCATTTAAAGTCCCATTTTTTAAAAATATTATATGTATTTTAACGTTAACGATCAATTGCTATCTTTTGTGCATTCGGATCTATAAATAAATGAAATATAAAATACAGATAAATAAATCAATTGCAAATTCATAAAACTTATTATTTTTGGCCTAAAGGATGAAGAATTTACTTTTCAAAGTATTGCTTCTTCAATTCTATATTAAAAGTAAATTTCTTTAATAAAGTTAATCATTGCTATAATATATTATGAATTCTCTCCTTTATTAATATTAATCCTTGCTTTTGTACCAATTATTAGCTTTATCCTGTTATTTTTAATATTTTATCGTAAATAATTTAATAATTTAGCAATACTGAACAATTAATGTAAAAGAACTAATAGAGCGAGTAACAGAGAAGCAATAAGAAAAATTAATTAATAATCATACAACTACGCTCAGATACTGAAATATCAGTGCAAAAAATTTTAATTTAATACTTTATACTTACCTACATTTTCTACGAAATTTGGCATTATCGTTAAAATAATAAAAAAAGAAGAAAATTATAAATTTTATAAATAAATTTTTACAGAATTATACGCAACTGTTTGATGCGAAATTTCTCAATAACTTCTATTCGGAATCCATACTTTTATGTAAATAAAATTAGTAATCGTTAAAAATTGTAGTTATGCAACATAAATATGGGATTAATATTTAGTCGCGATGGTTGGACATTTTCGATTGATTTCTCGTATTCAATTACGTTCGAATATTAAGTGATACTCTGATTATTTATTATCGATCACTCATCAGTTTGAGCTTTGGTATAATAAATTATGATGGACAGTAGAGTAATGATTAGCATTTAGTAATATTAGGCATTGATGTGAAATGTTATTAAAATTTCATAAAGCGAATAAACATATTTTCTTCTTTTTTTTCTATTTCCGGTGATGATTGAAATATAAGGTTAATTCAACTCAATACAAAGTCTTTTGAAAATGTCCAAAAAATAATAATGTCAACATACAATTGTTTTATAATATTAAAAGTCATTTTAATTCTATATTTTCGATATATTAATTTTATCTAATATTTTCATACAGACAAAAACGATCTCTTACGTCTACTCTTCTCGGTGCACTCATATATTTATCGAAATAAAAATGTTAAAAATTATCGATAATTACATGAATAATGAATGAAATATGAAATAAAGCAATTAATAATGCTATTTAAATGAGTTGAATAATTTGAATTTTTTATTCCAAATATTGAGTTGAAACAATGAAATGGCGCGCATAAACATTGTTATCATCGGATAATCGACTTCTGAAAATCCAGTTCTTTTATTCCCGTATGACACGCCCTTTGTAAATATTCTGCCTATTGCGTTGAATCTTTCTCTTTCTTTTTAATGAGATTAAATTATTGCCTTGTTTAAAATATATAGAATTACGCGAACAGGATAATGGACATTTACATTGAATCAAATCGGGATAAGTTTATAAAAATTTTGAATTTATAGAAAGATAGGGCGTTAGTTAACACGTGGCCGTGATTTTAAACTTGAATTTTAAAAAATCCAACCAAATTGTTAACAAATTTTTTGTCCAATGTCAAGACAAACTCGATATTTTTATGCTAATTTAAATGTACTTTAAATAAATGCCGAAACGAACTTTTTGGAATAATTTCTTAATAACTTATTTATATTCTTATGTAATTTATGATTTTGCAAGCACAATTCTTTGCAAATTATTATTACGTTGTTTTTTTTTCTTCTTACTTTATTCTTTAAAAAAATATTCTTTATTTACAAGATAATAATATGTTTAATAATACGTACGAGAAGAAGATTATTTTATGAAAATTAAAATTATTAACAAGTAGTTTATAGCTATTTATTGGATTTATCGAATCTCATCGAAGTATCAAAGAATTACTTCTCATATTGAATATACTATTTATTATAAACAATAGTGTGTAGGAGAGATCGCCTAAAATTGAAATGAATCGATAAACTTTTTCCGAATGTATTATTTATAAATAAATCCATTTGATTAATAAGTTTTAATTACGCTTTCTCAATAACGTGTTAATAATATGTTTGACACGTGTTTTTATAAATTGCGAAATTGAAAATTCGTTGTGACTTACATCTATCAACGAACAAGTTTCCCGACAACAACATCCAACATCAGCAACTTGTGAAATATCCATAAGATCGAATAGTCCGCGGCTACGCGCTTTTCTAATCGACGAATAAAAGTTTCCACACAAATTTTAACATTGTGGTATTATAAATAAGTTTTATATTTTTAAATTAAGAAAATAATGCACATATTATACAAATATAATTCTTTCACTGTAAAAATGTATTATGCGTAAGAGACTTCGTTGCATTTCCTTTACAAACAAAGGATTCTCCTTAAATCGTCGTAACTCTATTGGCTTGATTCACTTGGCGACCTGAGATGTAATATCCGCCCAGTATGTCGAGTAGTCTTTCAAAATACTCCCCCTACAACAAATTAATACAATTAACAATCACTGTCTAAGCGATGCACTAAGCCATTCAGCGCGCACGCGCGTGCTAAGGAAATATTTCGTTTGCTTAAGGAGGATTATGGGCAGGATTATTGGGAATGGAGCGTGACTAAGGAGAGGATGAGCTGCCGATGAAATTTTCCTCGTGAAAATATGAAACGGATATTCGGGCTCCTGATGGTAGCATAACAGATGGATACTCGAGCTCATTGACTCGACTTGGCACGACGTCCTTTGTTGGCCAGACGTCGTGTCGTGTCTTATGAAAAATAGCGATTCATTTTTCAATTCACCGGCTTCGACGGCACGATTTTAGTTCCACGATCGCGGCCAACGAATGACGTTAAAGTTCCACAGATCAAGAAGTAGGTGAATGAGATTGAAAAGCATGAGTAAAGCCTTATGAAGCAATGCACCGAGGCTCTGGTTAAAGGCCCAAGGAATGGAACAAGAGGCCATTTAAGCGGGACTCACGTGAAGTATATGGGCCCGCGGGCATTGAGAGGAGCATTCCAGACGAGGGTCGCCCACTGCTTGGTCCGTGGATCCGCATGGGTCACAGCACTGCACTCCGAGTGCGCTTTCGTATTCTCAGTTTGGGCCCACGAACCGACCCATTCATTCGTGCGGGCGTCGCGGGCCTGCAGGAAGAAGCCCTTGAAGTTGTCGCCCCGAATGCTCACTGTCGATGCCAAAAGATCGCTTGTCGTTAGAGCTTTTTCTACTTGTCTTTACTCAGACGCGCATTTGTATAATATTATCGTAGTAAAAACAAAATAAACAAAATCTCACTAACGCGAGATTGATGATATATATTTAGATGAATTTTAATGAACCGAGTTGGCCAGGAGTTTCCATTTAATTTGAAAATTATGCTCCAATTCATTGTCATAAGTTTAGGTTAGGATTTGTTATTGGAAAACTCCGTGTTACCAAAACTTTGAAACTATCTTTTCACTATTAACTTAATAAATTCTAATAAGATAATTAAGCGAAAGAAAACAAAATACTATGAGTTGGGTTGTAGGCAAAAAAAAAACTTGCATAGTTTTATGCGAAACGCGTACACGTACTTTGAGTAGGATAAAATAAAAGCACACCGATACATTCGCACTTGCAATTTATTTGTTTACTTTAGCTGATAAAACATTCAAAGAAAGTTCTCCAATATTGTGATACTTGACCTACATTGTTCATAAAAGATTAATTGTATTCTATGTATTAACGTAATTAATCAGAGGTTCGAAGTTGTGTTATTTTATTATCTTTTTTTTTTTTTATATCAAAGTAGCATTAAAGAAAGATTGAAAATTCAAATTCAAAAGCATTGTTGAATTAATAAGAAAACAAAAACAAACCTATATTTAATATTAATAATAACATCTATGTATTTATATTTAATTTGTATATCGCGTATTTATATTGTTAATATATATTCATAATTAATTTATACATTATGCATTACTCCTAATATTTCATTGGCATTACAAACTAAAATTTCATGATTATGCCGGTATTACATCGAATTACTTTATCATATTATGCAATTTTTAATTTATTACGATATTATCGTCTTGCCGTCGTCTTAATTTACATTTTCTCAAAACCAAATTACTTTCATTTCATTTTACACTTCAACTAAATACATAATTTTTATGTAGTTTATTTTTATATGGTTTCATCATACAATACCGAACAAAGACTTCATTTACTTTCAAATTATGCAATTTTCCCACTAATTATACAATACTCCCTTCTTGTATCGTTAAAGCAGTTATATTTCAAACATAAATTAATTTTAATACTTTGTATATGTCATTTGTAATTATTTTACTACTCCCTTTTAAACTATGGTAAGACTTTATATTTCAATTTAATTATGAAATATTCCATGCAATCCTTTAACGGATATAGCATTAGTAATCTTTCTTCCTTCTATCATTATCTCTTTTTGTACTCTCAATTAAAGTTCTCTTGATCGATTCAGATTTTTTTTCTACTAAATCTTATAATGTGAGCGTTTTACACATATCAATATATGAAATTAGCAGTTTATTTACTTTTTGATAAAGATTAAAGAATAAATATCTACTTTTACCTCACAATAATTATTGTGACAGTAAAGCCGTTGATTTTGATTCATTTGATCATCTTTTTTCAATATAAATTAAATTATAATTTCGTAAATATTTATTATTTCTAAATAAAAGGTTTGCTTTTCATTGTTAATAGATTAAGAAGAGGAGAGCAACACAAAACACGAAAAAATAAATAAAACGAACAATTCCTATTCGAGCAATTAATTTTAATATATTTATATATATATATATATATATATAGAAATACAACACACCAACACATACATTTATTTACTTGTTCTTATTCTCGAATAAATATTATAACGATAAAAGAATATCTCCTAGATACGCTGATACACATTATGTCGAGAAATGAGGCATTCAAGGGAAGTAATTGAAAGCAATCGAGTCTACACTTAACAATGCACGCTTGCACGAGGACCATAAAAGAGCACAGGTTCCATAATTTTATCCATTCGTCGTAATGATAGATAATATACTGGAAATACTTGTGCTGTCCAACCAAGTTAATACGTGCATGAGCAATACGTCGAGAGTGACACGCGGAAATACGTTCCTTTGCAGGAATCACAGATATTGCGACCCGTGTTACATACAATACAACCTTCGAGTTTTCTTCTTTTCAAAGCTCTAAATAACTGTGGCATCGAGGACATACAAAAGAGAGAGAGAGAGAGAGAGAGAGAGAAAGAGAGAGAGAGACAGAAATGAAATTGAAAAGTCGCATGTTGAACGTTGAACGGCACATTCTTATCCGAATAAGCCGTTCGCTCTCCTTATTTATGTTAAACATAGCTGCAAACCAATATCGATATTTTCAATAAAGACACATCATTTATCTCGAAACGTCCCATAGGAATATAAATATCTGCGTGTGCTTAATTTGAAAACGGAAATATATATAGAATTGCCATTTATTATGCATTATATATTAAAAATTCAATACATTATTTCTCAAGACTTTTTTTACACAGACAAAGCGAAATTTTTAGTGTACATCAATTTGATATATTCAATTTAATTTTTTTGTTTTTTTTTTATTTGTTTTTAATACATTATATAATATTCTAAAAACTAAATAAATATTATAAATATAAAATAAATAAATAATTACAAAATTTATAAATACGCTTTTTATATCAATTTTTCTCTGCCTTAATACTTCAAATTCTAATTTTGAATCCAGTCCCATATAATTTATCATAAAAATAAAAAATTCACATAAAGGCAATTAATTTGAGTTCTATTTTAAATCATTGCTTTGATGACCGAATGAATTTGATCGGATCAAAAGAGATAAAGAACAGAAAGATATTATCTTCTATTTATTATTTTATACGTGCTCTGTTGAGTTTTTTATCAAGAACTTTGTACTTTAGCCGCATTTACTCGATGATTTTCTACTACAATACATGGATTTCCGAAATGACTTTGTTATAACTTTATAATACATCGTTACTAACAAAAAAAAAAAAAAAAAAAAATACCAAACAAACAAAAAATACATATCGGTAATAAAATTATTATTTTTACATACTATGTAACTATGGGTTTGACTAAATATAATTAATTTTACAATTTTCAAATATTAGCTGAAATTTCCTTGAAATATGGTTAACATTAAACCACAACATGGACCATGAGATTATATTATATAAGTACAAAAAATATCTACAATTTAATTAACAATATTAATAACATTTCTTGTTATAGCTATCAATAGTGAATAATAATTCTTCTTATTTATTTCAAGAGTACTTCTTATAATAGCAATAAGAAACTTACTTAATTTACTCTCTCGAATTAAAATGCAATAAAATGCAATAAATAAATAAAATCTAGGGTGATGAAAGTTTAATGATAATAACTATATTAGTATGTAGATGAAATATGCAAATTATTACGATGAGTGCTTCCGTTAATTATTGGATGATATTGTTCATATGGACAAGCGTTGTGTAATGCATTTAAGGAGATTAACATTGAAGTAAAATAATAGTGAAAAAATCCGCTATTATATTATCTAAATATTATTGTTTCACTATGTGTATCATTATCGAACAAACATTTTGTTACGTGAATTCATCCTGGACAATATATCAATAAGCTCATACTGAAAGTACAAGGTGATACAACCCGAGCTCAGTGATAATATCCTGTGTATTCACTTGTCCATCTTACATTACGACCGCGCAATACACACATCTAACTATTCTAGCGAAATCGATAATGGATCTTCTACGTGTATATAAACATGTGCACAAACGTGTGCATGGCGCGGCACGACACTGCTCGCAAACTAGCTATTAAACTCCATTAAATACCTTTCGAATGATTCCAACTGCAATTAAAGAAACATCCATTATATTTCCATGCACGTAACTCTGGATTTTATCTTCATCATTGGGAATGATGCACGAGGACAAGAAGAGTGAAGTTTCCAAGCTTACATAACAATTTGTAATATTTTTACTTCGACAATGAATATTTTGTTTCTGTCACTACGCTACAATTAACGAACAGACATGAAATTTAATACTTATTATGGATGGAGGATTAAACGAGAAAAAAATAATAGAAAGAAAAGCATGAAATGTTCGTAACTAACGATATGTCACACTTGGCAAATACGATAAAATAATGTTAAAAAAAATTGTGCAAAATTTTACAAAGTATTTGGTCTGTTTTCCCTCTATAAACTCCCAGCTCCTTTTATATGATCAATTATTAATTAGTTTTTCATGTTTGTGAAGATAATGTAAATCGCGCACCCTAATGATATTAGTTAAAGTAAATTAAAATGTCTATTTCACAAGTAATGGATTAGTGTGATAATTGAATCAATATATTATTATTAGATGTCTTTTCCTAATTAATTATAATTGACTGTTAGAAAATGAAAAATATTGTATTAGAAACGCCATTTGAAAATGAGTTTATTGTCAACTCAACCAAATCCGGTTCATTAGCGTCTCGTACATTGTTTCTAAAATCATGATGAAAAGACAAATCACCATTTAAAATATTTATTAAACGATACAATTATTTAAGCATCTGGTAAAAAGAAATCGTTCATCGTTAGAATTGAAAAGCATGTGAAAATGCTGCATACAAGATAGTCTATAAATATTTATTGCATACATAAAAGTAATAAATTATACATAAATAATACTGAAAAAGAGAGCTAATGTAACAAAAGATATCAAATACATTAATTTTCAAATAAGCAAATAAACAGATTATTTCGTCTACTTCGATTATTTCGTTTTTGAAAAATTTTTTGATAAGAATTAATTTAATGCAAGATACGATTTTATAATAAATATTATTTGATTGGAATTCATTATATTCCATCATAATCAAATAAAAAGCAAAAATATGCACAATTTTTATAACTGTCGAAAATAAAAAATTCATGTAATCTATATTTATGCAATAGTAGAACGATGAATTATTGATCTCTGAATGCTTTTCTCTCTATGCAATTTCATTTTATTTAAAAAAATATATATTTCTCACAATATAATTAATTCGCTCTATTATTACATACATTGTCTCGCTTTTATGGAAAAATAGCGTTGAAAATTATTGAAAAAATTAAAAAAAAAAAACAAAAAAACCATACATCTCTAGTATCAAGAGATACATAAATCTTAGGAATTAACATAACTAATATTAAAAAAAAACGAATTATTTATATAAAAATAAATTATATATATTCTATAAATGAGCATTTTGCACACGTACATAGGCGCGAGTTAAAAGATTAAAAGAATAAAAATTTAAATTATTGGCATAATTGATTATGAATCAACAACTGCAAATACTTACTTTTACAATACAATAGAGAATCCATAAAAAAAAACAGATTTAAAAATTATAATCTTACAATACATTGTTATATTTTCAATTTAAACTAAATATTATATACTTTCAGCTAAAAGACTCTTTCTTCGTTCTTTCTTCAATGTATATAATTTCCCTCTAAATCACTTTTTATAAGAAAATCCATAAAACTTTCACGTTTCATGAAACTACATATATTAAAATCCATTTTCATAATACAACATGAAAGCAACTTTCCTGTCAACGAAAAATCGATTTTTTTTTACGCTACTCATTCCTTTGTTCGTAAGCAAAATATTTGCTCTCTATCCACGCAAAACAAAGCGCTGACGTAATAATACTTACTCATTAACTGGACGATCGAGCGAGTCACTAAATGAGACTAATAACAATCATTGATCGAGTAAGGCAACGTTAAAGTTGCCACGAAAAGTGACGGACTCACCGGTAATTTGTGATCCTGGTTCGTAAAATCCACTCGAGGCAATCAACTGGTAAGGATTCGTCGAAAGTGGCTGAGGCCTTGTCTGTCCGTGGTACGGCTGATTTGGTCTCGGTTTAACGCAGGCATCGACTGGTGCTCCATCCGGGAATCCATTGGTGCCAATCACCAGTAGGCTTAACGCCAAGGTAACCGTCGCGGTGAACATTTTGCTTCTTGGATGTGTTTCTTGGTTAATGTGCCGTTACCTTTGGACTTTGCACCTCGATTCGTCTGAAAACTTGTTCCTGGCATTTCAATTGGATGCATTGCTAGCTTCGTGTTCATTTAAATGTCAATGTAGGAAAGGACGGCGAAGTACTTTTCGTCAAAGACATATTTTTCATAATGGAAAGAAGTATTTTATGCTTCACTATTTTATCCCTTCCCACTTCTCCCCTACCCACTCATCACCCTTATAGTATTGGACATTTTAGTATTGGACTTTAGTATTGGACAACCATAATCCATATGCGCATTATTATGCAATTATGACAAATTAAAAATTACGTTCATTTGCTTGAAATCCTTTTTTAGAGCAATTACTTTTGATATTATTAATATTTATCAAGCTTTGTGATAAATCATCTTTAATTCGTTTTCATAAAGGGTCGATAATTGTAATTACAAACATTATTACATACTTTACTTTTTTATAATTATTACTTGATAAATATTTTCTACAGTTGACGGTTTATAGTAGAGAATAATTTGCTTTTCATTTTACATTTCATGAAAAATTCTGAAAAAATAAAATTTAACGATCACTTTTTTCGTTTTTTATCCGCATTATTTATTCACCATAATCGTTCTTCTATTTCTTCACGCTCTAGGAATTGGAAAAATTATTTCTTTTAAATTCGACTCTTAAGTGTAAAAATTGTTAATATATATTAAAATTGCAATATAAAGTAAAATTTCGTCGTTAACAAAAATGAAACAAAAATAAATAAAGAAATAAATGAAATCACCATTTATACCATTTATTCGTGAATAAACATTAGTTTAATATCTTAATTTTGTACAGATTATAGATACTAATTATTGGAAATTTTAGATGGTTTCTCGCTCATTGGAGAAATTTAATTAAAAATAAAAATTATTATAAAGAAAATGCATAAAAGAAAAAAAAAAGAAATACTTTCAGTATCATTTGAATTTGCTTTAATATTTCACTATACAATATTATTTGCCAGCAATATACTTTGGTATAGCAATAATACCAACCAAAAGCATCCTTCGCCCTTCATATATTCTACGTTTGCCCGAATCTTTTATTTTCTACTCCATTTACTAGGATTAGCCACACAATATCATCGCATTAATCAATATTAAATTGGATACGAACGATGCAATAGGAAAGGAGAGATATTAACTTCAACGTTGAATTGTTAGGGCGCGAAGAAATGTTTATAAATAAATAATAGGATATGGAACTTACGAGCCTGCCTTGCCTTCAAGTGCGATTACAGTAGTGAAGAAAAGCCGTTTTTACCGGCACGACGGAGGAACAACAGAGTTCTCACTTTCAAATGAAGTGGACGGACACTGAGGCCGGTTCTGGGTTGCCGTACTTCGCCAGCCTTTATAAAATCTTGCACGGATCCCACCATCGAATGACGCCACAGCTGGACTGGATTCTCCATTGCTAATTGTCACTTTCACTCCCCACGAGAATCCGCGGTGTACCTTGGCGCTCATATACTTTACTATGCGTCAACCGGCACCGATTTTGCTTTATTCTTGAAGTTTCATTCCCTTACTCACTATTCGTTGAAGAATTTTCCAATTTTTGTTTTTCTTTTGCTTCGTTGTGTTTTTTTTTAATACATTTTAAAATACGAATATATGCCACAAATGTTGATCCGTACAAGGCATTGGCCGCAGGCAAAACAATTCATTAGTACGACTGAAACAAATATCGCGCGCACACTCACGCGCGCGCGCGCGCGCACACACACACACACACACACACACACATATATATATATATATATATATATATATATATGTAAGTGTATTGGTCTTCATCATAATGATTATTCCGTAATATTCAACTATCCGTTAATAAATTGATTCGAGAAGGAATTCTTTCGTATATTCCGTAATTTGCCGTTAACAATGTAAACTATATTTGGGAAAATACCATACTTAATTGACTTTTTATATATTGTATCGTTTCATTGAAATTTCTCATATTAAGGTCAACATTAATAATGAATCTTTTAACATAAATTATGTATTTGAAAGAAATTATTTTGTTTTGTCTACTTGAAAAAAATTATAAAGTTATATTTGCCAATATAAGCGCATTTCATCGACGCTAGTAAACATCTTTTAATACACAATCACATACTTATTTATTATTATTATTCATCTTTCTTCTTATTTTATATAGAGTTTTCAAAAAATACATAGGTTTGCTGAAAAAATTCAAATAAAATTTGTCGTCATTTTCTTATTTACTTATAATTATTCATATAAATGCACAAAGTATTTAAAATGGAAACTTAATTCAATATTAGTATGTATAAATATTTAATTTAATGTCTACATAATCAGTTAACTGATACGTATTATACACATTGGAAATTGTTATAAAACGAGTTAATACGCTTCTCTATTGAAAAATATAGTATTCACCTACGCACACACGCGCGCCCACACGCACACGCACACATGCATATACATTTAAATTTTAAACATAAACTGCTTTATTGGATAAACAAATAATGCCAAATAATATATTTTAACAAATAGTCATTTAACATTAATTAATTCCATTTGAAAGAACATAGAGGAAAAGCAAAGTACGTAAAATTTAATTCTTTTGAAATATTTCGTTATCCCTACTTTAATACCTGTCAGCAAACTACGGGAAGGAAATTTTTTGCTTTTTGCGATTCGTCTCATTCGGTAAGCGCGAGGGACGGCAAAACTATATCGCAAATTTCTATACTAATACGATCTAAACGATCGACTAGCTTATTTTTCCAAAGTCTAAGGTCTTGCTTAACAATACATCTATTTTTAATATATGCCATTCTATTTCCTAATCGTCGTCGGTTCGTTAGGGGTGCGTAAAACCTGAAAGTAACTCGAAAGGGATCACCAGGGGGTTAACAAACATAACCACCACCTAGTTGAGCCACGCCTAGAATTTGAATGGGCGAGGCTCGTCGTTACATTTAAATGAAACATAACGTGTAAAGTTATCGTCAGTTTAACGAGCGATGGTACTTAAACTTACTTTTCTAGCCGCGATTCCAAGAAACTTCGGGGCTTCGTTGCTAACTCAAACCGCGTGCATCTCGAATGAGATTTATTAGGTTGAAATTGAATTTGAATACTTTGCACTGGTACGCTAGCGATTCCTCAGTCATTATGTCCTCGAATCATTTTTTAAGGAGACTCCGACGAAACTGGAGAGCGTTTTTCGAGGAAATTGGACATTGAAATGTCTAGTTGTAGAACACGGTAGTGTGAGCGAAAAAAACGGGAGACAGTGACGGCGACAGAATTATTGATCGGCTTATGCCAAAATTGGCCTTGTCGGGATAGAAGTTGCGGAAATGCATACAAAGAGCAGATAGTGAATGGCATCAATGATATTTTATGTTTTAAATTAAGGATTAAGCGTAAGGTTTTGAGTTGTGGTATTTTACAAGAACAGCAATGTGTAGAAATAAATAGTCTTCGGACTTGGGATCGACGCTTTTTTTTTTTTAATACAATGGAAGTAAATCGTCATTGTAAAAGGCCTCCCGCCGACTCTAACTAGAAAATTATTCGGCGAATAATAAATTTTTAAGTTAACAATTAAATTTACGTTAAACAACCATTGGCGTGCATTTCACATACTCGTATATAAAAATAAAATAGAAAATTAATCCGTTTGTGAATATCAATTGTTTTGTAAAAGAGTGATGCACGTGTATAACAGAAAAAGAAAAAAATTTTTAATATAGCATTCTAAGTTTATTAAATAAATACATTCATAATATTAAAAGTAATAACATTTTTATTTGAAATTTTAAAATCATTATACTTTATCATTCTGTTCTTGTTGCCTTATATTTTTACATTCTAATAAATGTTTGATTTTATAAAATGTAGTAGCATAAATACATAAATTTCGATAATGTCGTGGTAAATATTTTTATTCGGAGTTATAAAATTATTTCAAGTTTAATTCAGCTATCAAAGCATGCATATGTAAATGTAAAAGAACTATAAACTTATATTTTAATTTATCATAAAAGGTATTTTCATTAAACATGGAATCATACATCCCAATTAGGTTTTGGAATGCCTTGAATTATTTCGCTCTTAAATTATTACATAAAAATAACAAAAATTATTCAAAAAATTTAAGAAAATAAATAGAGGACGAACAGTATATCAACGAATATTTTACATCCATTTTTCGACAATGAAATATTTATTGCAACATAAATTTCGGATTTTTATCAAAATACACACATATTTCTATACAAAAATACAAAATGAATCCTTCATTGAATATTATCTGTTTTGTAAAAAGAGTCAAACACCCAATCTTGTGATCCGTTTTTTTATATTACGTACAATGATCTTTACGCACAACCATACTCGTACATTATAAATATGTAATTTATAATAACATTATCAGTATATGAATAATCAAAGTCCTACTCCAAATATTGATTGACAATTTTTCACATAATACAAATTTAAATAATTATATATAAATAATTCGACAGTTGCTATGATTGTTGATCTTTGCTAACATTAAACTATTTTATAATACTTACTTCTACATTTTGTAAATCAGACTACATTGAAAGATACCACATTTAATTGAATTACAATATTGAATTATCATGTAATAAAAATTATTTTAACGATATATTTAAAGGGATAAATCCACGGTAGGTTGAAAAGCAGTTTATTTTATACTAAATTGAATAAATATATTCTCAATAATTAACGAATATGATTTATATTTTATACAGTTCTATGCCATTAGTGGTATAAAAATAACTATTTACTTCATTACATACAAATATTTTGTTGCAATATATAATAAAGATACGTGAGACTTCATGACCGCGTGAGTTCAAAAACATACAACATTACGTATTGAATTATTCGACTAGGAAGTGGAAAAAGAGAGAAAATTTTCTTCGTCGACTAAACAGTGCGTGACAGCCAACATTGCATTGCGTGTTTCAGTCCTCTTAATATCCTCCCTCCCCCAAATCACCCAACCCTTCTCCGATCCGTTCAACATTTCCAATCGAAATCTCTTTTCTTTTCTCTCGCTTACAATTTGCACATACGACACGATGCGCATGTACGCGAAAACGAACATAATTTGCAGGAAGGAGTTGCACGTACAACTTTTTTACCGTAGTATATTGATTTTCCACGGGCGCGAGACGCGCTGACCTATTTGAATACTTAAAATAGTCTGTACAAATTTAGGAGTACTTATTGCCACGAGGCTAATAAGTGACGACCGATTGTTACATCTTCCACTACTTTCCTCTTTCGTCCTCACATTTATAAATTGGCTCATCAAGTCAAATACAAATGTCAAAGTGAGCTTGAAATTTTAATCTCAAGTGTATGGATATCCGTATTTTTTATTCTTTTTTTTTGTTTTTAATTAAACATACCGCTTGATTCGAGTGCACACGAGTATTGTACGACGAGTATTGTAATATTTAGAGATAATTAACGATGACGTATTTTATACATAATAAGTAATACATAGGAAGTGTTAATTTTCATTTATCTATCTAAATGACATAAGAAACTTATGAGCTTAACAGTTTAGAATATCACATAAATGTACGAACGCTCATACACACAATTTACACTAATGCGTGAATAATGTCAAAATTATAAATTCTTAAGAATAAAATTAAAAAAAAATTTTTCTTCTTTACTCTTTTAACAATCTCAGATTTCATTGCGACAATTGTGATGTTGCATATCACTACTATCTGTACGATATTTCAATTAAAAATATAAAATATTAAAATAAGCAAATTTACAATTATATTTCCTTAATATGTATGAATAATTTAATAAGTGATTAAAAATGTAGGTCGCTTTCTTCCTAAAATATACCAACGTTTGACACGAATTAAACATATAATATATTACACCAATAAATTAATGGTTAAAGCTTATGTGTAAATAAATTTAACAATTTTGACAATATTCGTTATGTAAATTTTTGAATGTCAAATATGATAACAATAAAAACATGTTGCTTAATCTCAATCTCATGCAACATATCATTCTTTCATTATTGCAGTCAATATCATTTATGTTTTTTATGCAAATTATTTGCCGAAGGTATTATCTGCATTCTATAATTATAATTCATTTCACCTTCCACACTTGTTAATGAAGTTGTAGCGTTCGAGCTATAATGTCGTTCATCCCCATCGACATCTACATAATTCTGCAATTCTTTGTCTTTTTCACTAACTGGAATGGCACAAGGTCGAGGAAACCAGCCCCGAACTCTGTCTTTAATATCCATCGAAGCCATATGGTTTTCTTTCTCGCCAAATAACCAATTGCTGCAATACGATTTACGTAATCATCGATTACTGTGATAATGTTATCATTAGAATGTAATCATAGGATAATATAATAATAATCGATACTAACTTGCGCCAACGAGTTACCATAATAGTATCGCCTACGTCAAGTTTAATTCTTGGTTCATCGGTGATCGGTGGCGAACAAAGAACATGAAGACCGTGACTAACTGGAACCCAAGAACCTGTTGCTCTTGCTACAATTCTGTAGCGTTTCGATCTTTTTCTTTTTTCCTGTTTTTGAGCCAATTGTTCGCGCTAAATGTAAAATTAGAAAAACATAATTTGTTATAATATTTGGAAAGACCGTTGGAATACCATTAATTGTGACTCAAGCAATAGGATTTGCGTTGAAAATATAAAAAATTTGCCTAATACTAACGGTTAGAGTATATTGATCGCAGCCATCTATGACCGGCCAAACTATTCCATTGCCTATTGCAGCACAATGCCACGACAGAACCTGATTAACATTAAAAAGCCATCCTTTTGAATAAGGATGAACGAACTGTTCGGATGACGTGATTCTTCGATAATTAGCTTTTTCCAATATCCAGCATTCGATGCCGGTTTGATTTTTTATAACAGCATGTAACTGAAACATGCATAACTTTAGTATGGATAAGGATAATTGCAATTTTCTTTATTTTATTGTAATTAAATACTGGATTAACGAATTGAAATCTCACTTATAGTAAATGTATCGTCGAGTTAAATTTATTACCTGAAAATACAAAAGCATTCCAACTGCTATTACAACTCCAACTGAAAGACCTATGCTAATAAGGACTAACATTACAGTAAATATAGAGGGTGGATGAAATGGTAATGGCCTGGTGAAAAATATAATCGTCATCCAATTAATCATTATATACGTGGAAAGACAGCATCCAGTTACGGCACTAGCCAAAAATGCCGTGAAATAGCCATGATTGTTATGACCAACGCACGTATTTATCCAAGGACAGTGATGATCCATTTTCAAAACGCAACGATTGCCTGCATGAGAATATTTGATATTACTGGGCTGGTTACGAATAGTACTATAATTTAATATATAATTCATTCGATAAGGCTAAGTAGAAGGCAACTGGTCAAAATTGCTAATTATATTTTAACGACGGCCGAGGCAACTTTTGTCAAAACAGCTACAATTGTCTACAATACTCGTGGTGGATTATATAGCAATTATATTAGAAATTAATACATTCTTCAGAAATATTTTATATTAATTAGGCTGTGTAAATAGTTGAAATAAATTACACTTACATTTTCGACAATGATGAGAGCGTGGAGCTTTATAGCCTTGGCATACGCTACAGAATTGCAAAAATTCACAATCATTTTCATCATCCTATGGACAAGCAAATTCTTATGAAAGCTGAGACGTTTATTATAGAAATTTACAAAAAGTTAGCTTTACGCTTACCGGCATCCAATTAATTGGCAGATATCCAGGCCCTTCGTAAACAGAATTAATAAAATGATACAGAGTTAAGCCGCTGAGAATTATAAATATTATAAAACATGTGTCGGAAGTAATATTTCTATAGTTGTTCCACCAATGTCTGCTACAGTGTAGGCTCATCAATGTGATAATTTTTATTATCGCTGAAATGACAAACGAAAGACGTTTCTGTAACAATCCCTTTGTTAATACAAAATTTTAACAAAAATTTTTGTTGAAACGAGCCGATCGTCCGTTTTCTATTTCGTCATTAAATATTGTCGACAACATTACGTAGGCGGACAAAACAATCGCCCAAAATTAATAAACACCCACATAATATGAAATTTACAAATTTATAATCTGAAATTCTAATGGATTAGAAATTTCTATAAGAAAAAAGAAAAAAAAAACTTTACAGTATCCTAACTTAGTTATATCAATCTCTTTTGTCGATTAAAATACCAAGAACTGATAATGGTCCCCAATTGCAAATCCTTTCGAACAGGCTCCAGCACATTTTTCCAGCAACATGTAGTCCGAGGGATAATGACTACAGTGAAGCTATGCAAAATTTCTCCTTGAAATTTATTGCTCCCATCGAGCCTCCTCCTCCTCCTTCGCCGCTGCCGCTGCCGCCGCCACCGCCGCCACCACCTCCTAACACTCTTCTCCGCACAACTTCTTCGGCTTTAACGATAACATCCTATCGAGTGACACGTTATTAGCATCATCATCATCATTATCATGAGATACGGTTGTCCTTATCACGCCGCTCCCCGTCGCTGGTGATTTTTTTCTCTTTCACGTTGGCAAAAGATAGGTCGGCTGGCTGATGCCTTGATGGTGCCTGGTGGAGCCCGGCACATCTCGAGGAGCGAGCCGCCGAGTATTTTAAGATCCTTCCTTCTCTTCGGGCATCGTCGTCGACGTAGGGGCGCGCGAGATTTCAAACATCGTTTCAAATTTCACTCGTGCGCACCGAGTCATCAGTCTCGTCACCTGAATTCGTCCTTAATTCCTGAGGACGAGCCGACCGACGATTAACCAAGCCATGTCGCTCTTTCGACTCGGCCGACTAACTAGCCACTTCATACAGCCGAATCAGCCCAATAATGCACCACTTGGGCATTGAGAGATTGGAAGGGGTTGTGGCGGGGTCGACGCGACTGAGGTGGTAGGTGCGGCAGTGTCGGTAACTAATTGGGGGGAGAGGGTAACGGCTAATAAATAAGGGCAGTGTAAAAATGAAAAAAAAGCTCTAGTTCGTAGGTCATCGACCCGACCTCTGAGGTAGCGATCTCGAGCACTTTGACTTGGTAAAGTCGTGGCGAGGACAAGAAATAGGCGGGAGTTCGCGGTGGTGGTGAGACAAAAAAGTCTACCAGCGGAACTCGTTTATCATACGAGGGAGGGGGCGGAAGTATGAGACAGCCGAGTCTCGTATTTGTTTGAGTCGTTTCATAACGGAGTGGGCCAGGCAGTCCTCATCGTGCCTCCCTCACCCCCTGGCCATAAAGCACATTGTAACGTGGCGGCAGCGTGATGAATTGCGGGGGACGGGTCGGGGAAGAGGAGCGGGGCTGGAACAAAATATGCGTCTGCTGGTGGTGTGAAAGAAGTAGGTTGTGTAATCGTGGACAGGTCGTTGGCTGTATGGAGACATGTCGCGAATAAATGATAAAAGAAGGAGTGTTTGCACGAGGTATCGTACGTTTGTTTGCGACAAGTTTTATTGTCTTCGCAGGCGTTATCGTGCACTTAACTAGTCCATTTTATATATTAAGCGTGTGGCGTATGTGCGTATGCACGTACGTGTCCAAAGAAGATGTAGGTTAAGTAATGTAATGATTAAGCATGAGCAATTGTGGCCAAAGTGTCCGTGATTCGATGATCGATAAATAGAAAAGTCTTAAAGACGAGAAAGAGAGAGAGAGAGAGAGATGGATTAAATGATGAAGAAGAGCAAGGACGCTGCTACTACCTCTTATGGGAATTGAGCATCTCGAGATGGTTGTTGAAATGTTTACATTTTTACTTCTTTGTCAGGAGAATGATGTCGTTCGTCTTTGATCGGGGATGTATTGTAATGAGAGATTTTGGAAAAGGATTATTACGCAAGTACTTAGTAAAGGATGACCGGGCGAGGGTTAAAGTAAGTTTTGTTATAAAGGACACTGTGCGACCAAAGCATTAAGTTACCAGGAGCAGAATGCAGCAGTTGGCGGAGGAGAAGTTTGTTAATCTGTTGGACGAGAGGAGAAAGGACTGCGATATCGTATGGGTGTCGCGTTCTATGACACCCTTGGCTCCTCACAAATTGCCATCAGAGCTCGTTTATACAAGGAAGCAGGCTCTTAACGCAGCTTTATCGGATCCCAAGGTCCTGGGGATAGTTTCAGTAGTAGCGAAGAGTAGAGGCATACCAGCGTCGACGGTATTGGCAGAAGCTAAGACTATGCTTCAAGAGATGGCGAGTAAAGCGCATATGCCAACAGTCAGATGGCTGGGTAAGCTTATTCGATTGGTATAAAGTGTAATATAACTCATATTGATATATTCCAAGAGACGGAACTTTCTTCCACCAAATTATATACCTAATATTGGCCATAGACGATATTAGGTATATCGAGGTTTAATTTGTAACTATAATACTCATCTATGGTATTCGATCGTTATGTGATGAAATAAATTGCTTTGATTATGTTTCAGGCTTAATTATAACAAAAGTCATGAAGAGAATCCTTATAAGTATAAAATTAAACGAGAGTTATATTTATAGAATTAAGAACCAAATGTGTGCTTCTAGTATCCAATACGTTTATACACCAACACATAGAAGCTATTTAGATTTTATTTTACTTTCGTATATTCTTTTTTCATACGACATGGCATTACCAAATATTGCGAGTGGAATGGATTTCTATCAAATGAGAATCGTCGGAGAATTATTAAGACAAACGGGAGCCTTTTATATGAGACGAAGTTTTGCCTCCGATCCTCTGTATAAGGAAATATTTCGAGCTTACGTTGGCTCGTTGGTTGCTCACAGCAACAGAGCCATAGAGTTTTTCATCGAAGGCACGAGAAGTCGAAGCCAGAAAACTTTATTACCAAAATTTGGTGAGCGATTAATTAATACCCTAGACATTAAACTCGACTCGAGTATCTTGTACATAAACCAATGAAATTTTCATTTACACTTATTTATAATCACGTGAATAAGACTTTTATTAAAAATACTAATTTTATCTACCATATATATATGAAATTATAAATATATATATATGTATGTATATATAGAACAATCTTCCCATGGCTTATGTATTCCAAACATTTTAAATGCATCTTTATAGATAGAATATTGTTTACGCACAGTCAAACTTGTTCTCGCATGCATAAGTCTACATGTTATAAAAAAACAAAGAGAGAAAAAAGTTTATTTCTTATTTAATTAACACCATTTCGATTAGGCTAAATAAAGGATAATGACAAAAGTTTACTAATAATTTGCATGACCTTTAGGTTTACTGTCTACAATGTTGGAAGTTCAATTACAGAGCAAAGTGATCGATATTCAATTCATTCCAATAAGTATTTCATACGACAAGCCACTCGAGGAATTGCTATTTGTCTACGAGCTTCTAGGAGTACCAAAGCCGGTTGAAAGTACTACAGGATTATTCCAGTCACTCTCTATACTACGAGAACCAATGTCACACGGTCATGTCTATTTGAATATTGCACCACCCATATCAGCACGCGATTATGTGGATATGGAAATTCGAAAAGCATGTTCATTATCACCGAATGCAAAGTTGCCCATTCAAATAGTGAAAAATGTTGCCTACGCCATTATTAATTGCCATAAGCGCAACACCATACTAACTCCATTCAATCTCATTTCCTTACTTTACAACGAACGAATGTATTCTCATCCCAATGATTGTTATTCCTTGGACGATTTGCTTCGTGATTATAAATGGCTAAAAAAGATTTTCGTCGAGAAATTTGAAGTGTCGGTGAATCCCGTAGTTTCGCGGTAAGTGACGTTTCTCGGGCGAAAATAAATAATTAAGGTATGGAAAGCTTTCAGTTTTATTAAATTTACCTTATATTTGCAGTAATTCAAAGGCAAATAGCGAGACACACGACGACTTGGAGAAACAGGAAGTTTTCGAGTCATTGCAAACGCATAAAAATTTAATGGAACTGAATTCCGAGCAGAAATTGAAACTCAAACCCCGACATAATAATGTTACCCAGTTAAAAAATGTCAGGGGATTTTTACTTAAACAAGAAACTTTGAACATTGCTGTACCAGCTGTCAACTTAATGATATATGTTAATCCTGTTTTTGCGCACCTGGCAAAACCAGCGATAGCAGCTTTATGTATCAATCGCTCGTCCAGAGGTATGATTTAGAACGTTTTCAAACAATTTATGGGAGAGAATTGCCGAGAGTTGCAAGTACTCTTGTGCTAATCGTTCTTACTATTTTAAACTAACAATACCATGATTTTATAGAATACCTTCCGATCATCGAAGCACATATATAATTGAAAAAATTCGTCAATTTCACAATTTGCTTAAAATTAAGAATATGCGATAAACGTTTCTTTACAATGTCAATGACATTCATTGAAATTTATAATTATTGAAGCTTGATGATTTTTGTTAACTCTATGTATCTCATGATTTATGTTATTTATGAATATTAATTTGGGAATTATTGAATTATTCAATATTTTGAATATATTTATGAGTATTGCAAAATTTAAAGCTAAAGACTAATGTTTTTTGTCTTCTCAACAACGTTAATCTAGAGTTTTAGAAAAATTTTTATAAATTTTTTACAACTTTTTTACAAAAATCAATATGGCCATTATATTTCTATTAAAGTCTTTCGACATTTTATTATTATCTGCTCCATTATTTTTTATAGAAATAAATGTTATTATTTGTAACATTCTTTTATCCTTGTAATGTCCCAAATTATTAGCTTGCAATATAATTCCAAAGGCATTCAAACTTCTTAATAAGACGGATTGAAAAGTTTTCTCATAATGACAGAATAATGCAATGAACTAAAGATTCGCTTTAATGGCAAAACTTAAAATACGACATCTTATAGCTTTTCATTATAGCGCTTAAAATATTTTCCATAAACTTTTTCTACTACATTTTGCAATTTTTACAAATTGTACAAAAACTTTTATGGTAAATTATTCTCTCTATTTTTTTTTCTTTTTTTACGAATTGTGCAAATCGAATTTTTCATATTTTAGCGTAATGAATACTGGGTGAATAAAGGGATTGACTGGACATGGATACTTTTATCAATATGGCTCATTTACAGAAAATTACATCCTCAAAATTGCTAACTCTTTTCATACATTGTATATATTTTTTTTTTTTTTTTTTTTTTTTTTTTTAATTTACTACTTAAGTACTTCTATTGTAAATGCGTATATATACATACATGCATGCATACATGCAAACGTATATACGTACATATATACATATATATATATATATATATATATATATATATATATTGAGAGAGAGAGATATAGCTTTAATAAAATAATTTATATTTTCAGAAAATGCAGCTAAACGCTATTTATTATTAAGATCTTTATTCAGTATAGAATTTGCTTTAGTACCTGATTTGACTCAATTAGAATTGCTAAGAGAATGGGAAGAAATTATTGAATTTTTATCAAAAGAAATTAGTGATATCGGATTACACTCCATTTTATGTAATTTAGTTATACCATTTGTTTCTAGTTTATACGTCATTTGTAAAATTTTTTTAGAGGTACGTAGTATTTAATACATTTATCACTATTTAGCAATATTGATCACTTCATATTCTGCAACTTCAACTTCCAGTTTTTCTTCTATCGCCGAAAATTTAAGACAGTTAATTATATTTGCATAAATACGTTACGATAGTAATGTAAATTCAACGATAATATCAAACTCTTTATAGAAAATAATAGAATTTTTAATTTAAATATCTTGATTATTATACGATCCCTTTGTCAATATTTATTTATTTATCAGCTCATACTTTACGAAACGAAAACTCTAATACGAAACCCATAGATAGACGAATGAAAATTTATTTGTAAATATTTTCGTCATTCTGTACTAATTAGAACTTGTTAAACATTTTTCTACAATATTATTATATGCAAATGTATTTTAATGTGCTAATTACACTACAAATGTATTTTCAGTGGAAAAGTTCGTTACAGTGTGTGGAAAAAAATATTCTTAAAGAATGCCAAAGACTCGTGGAAGAATTGTTATACGAAGAAATGTCATTAATCAATCATCCGTACTCGCTCACCTTAGATACATATGCATCTTTACTATCTAGTCTTGTTAAAAGAGAAAATATTGTTTTAGATAAAAGTGGAGTTTATACACCTAATAATATTACTGATCTCCAGGACATACTTGTTGATTTAGAGGATATTTTAAAACAATCTTATGTGAATGTGTTTTCCTCTTTCAGTCCAGAGGAAATACCAAATCTCCAAGCTAAACTATAGTCATAATAAATAATTATAATTACACAATTAAAAGCTTCAGTGCCAGTAAAATTACAGTATAAGTAGCATCAAAGTCAATAGTAGTCTTGTTTTTATGGTTTGAATAGTTATATGCTTCTTTTTATAGTATTATTTGTTCTATGTGATTTTAGTCAGTCATTTGTATTATAATATATTAAACTGCAATAGAAATTATATACTTTATTTAATATGAAACCAAAAATGAATAAACAAAAACAAAAAAAAAAAAAAAGTAAAAAAAAAAGTTCATCTTTCATTTCACAAAAAATCACATCCACGAAAGAATTACCGTTAAAGTATGAAAAAATATATGAAAACAATAACTGAATACGAAAAACATTGTTTCCTGTAATATAATATTTTTAACGTCTTCGTTCATTATTTAAAATAATACATGAAATTATCATATCAAATTTCATTGAAATTTCATCTACTATATTAGTTCATGTATCTATGAGATTAATTTCCCTTAGCATTTAGCAGATGCTTGTTTTATCCAAGATAACGTAGCTTACATTTCCTTTGTTAAAATTGAAATAACATAAGCAAAAAAAAAATAAATTACAAAATTCAAGAATTAGTCAATATTATCGTAAATTTTAATAATTATTTCAAACGACAATGCAATGAAATTATTTTCGCTTATTTATCAACAGTTCATGATGTGCGTCGGTCGATAGCTTAATGCAAAAAATATGAAACTATTTAAATTGGATCGTTAATTAATCCCTCGTCAAGTCGATATTAATCTCAATAACAAAGAAAGGCACAATTGTGTTGCATAGAAGATTAAACGAGTATTTATGAACTGTCAATAATAATATTCAATTGTTAATCGAATCAGCTCCAATTATAACTGAATTGCCCCTATTCTAATAAACAATACCTTATCCGCGCTTATTGGGGGACATAAGATCGATATCTTTTAAAATTTCGCGTGCGCCCATATGAAGTGCGGATTGATAAAATCGTATCTGCTTTACCGTACGGGGCGCGTGTAGACATTAGCTGCTTTGTCGGTAATGTCGTTGAGTAAGTCAATGGCATATTGAATGTGATGTAGGATAAGGGAGAAGCGCCTCGTAACTAGAATAGTCGGTGTTTCATGCTCACCACGTGGTTTTGTTTTGAATGTTTAGAGTCGGATTGCCTCGTTTGTCGCTTTTAATGTTAAGATCTTCGAGTTATTAAAAATATCGTTAATTTTACGTGGAGGCACTTTTAAATACGTAACATATCAAGCATGAGCTTGTTCGGTATTAACAGGCAAGTATTCCAAACGTTTTGATATTCTGATTAATTATTTGGCACAATGGGAATTTATGATTTATTTTATTGCTAAAATGCTTTATTGCCTATTAATTATTAGGTACGAAGATGAAGAGTGGAAGAAAGAAACGAATAGTTCTCACAATCACCTGTCAAATTTTTTAAAACAGATAGAGGTGAGGAGACGCCAAAGAGATAGTCTAAAAGCTGCCAATGAATCTACAGCGGAGGATGTGCCTGAAAAAGTTAACCATGATATTTCCGAGAATAGAGATAACGAGAAGAAGTCGAAGAAGAGGAAGCATGAAGCATTATCGGATAAAGCATCTAGCGATAATGAGGTTGATGAGCAAAAGACTTGTGTAGAGTTTGAAAAAGATTCGAGTAAGAGGGCAGAGGAAAATTTTACAATTCTGGGCAGCGGCAAGCATTTCAAACGTCAATTGGCAAAGAGAGTTCTGCCTCGCTGGCTCACACATCCCGAAATAGTAGCTTCCAATTTGAACAGCGGCTCGGCACTCAAGGAAGTAGAGTCACTTTTAGATGATAAACTATTGGCAAAACTTAAAGAGGATAGGTTTACAAAATTATTTCCCGTTCAAGTTCATCTGTTATCTTGGCTTTTAAAATGTGATAAAGATTATAACGCTGGCAAATGGGTGCAGGATACTTGCGTGTGTATGCCCACGGGGAGCGGTAAGTATACATTCGATCGTATACGTGAATAAAAGCTAAGAACGAGAATTGTTTAGTTGCTGCTTAAATAACTAAATAATTTATTTAATGGCTATTAGATTAACGCTGACCAACATTTCAATGGTTTGGTATTGGAAGCCTTTATTTATATAGCGTGTCATTGTTTGTGCATAAATTTTGTCTATAATGAATTTTTCATAGGCTTCAGCTACGTAACAACAATTTTTTTTATTAATTATTAATATCTTTATTTTCTAGGTAAAACTTTGGCTTACGTACTTCCAATTATTCAGGTGCTTCAAAAGAATTTTGTACGTACGGTTCGTTGCCTCATTGTTTTGCCAGTTCAGGAATTGGCCACGCAAGTTCACGAGGTTGTAATGAAATATGCCAATTGCACATCACTTAAAGTAGCATTGATTACTGGAGCCACGTCGTTTAAGGAGGAACAGGAAACATTAGTGCAAAAACGTACGTAAGCGATTATTATCACATTGCATTCGCTCGTATCAAAGCACCTTAAATGTTGGAATCGAAGTAAATTCTTAAAATAATGCAAATAACACAAGGATGATGATAATAATAATAATAATAATAATAATAATAATAATGATATAATAATAATAATAACACTGGAATAAAATATTGTTAACGATAATAATATTACCATAAACTTTTTTTTAGATGAAAGAGGAAGCTTTATTAGCATGGTTGATATAATTGTAGCTACGCCTGGCCGCCTAATCGATCACATTCGAAAAACTTCCGGCTTTTCATTAACAAATTTACGATTTTTAGTTATCGACGAGGCTGACTGCGCGGTAGATTGGCTACAATATATTCCCTTTCCACATTCGAAAGCTCCACCTCCCTCTATCAAAAACATTCGCTCTAGGTAAGGTTATCAATAATAACAATAACAATAACTGTAACAACAACAAGAACGACGACGACGACGACGACGACGACGACGACGACGACGACAACATTAAATAATAAGAATAGTAATAGTAATAGTAATAGTTATTAGAATAATATCGAATGACTTGTTTAATATCTGTCACGTTGTAAAATACCCAGGATAAATCACGACTAATCCCAGGAACCTCTTTACAGTTGGAATAAGCCCGCGCAAAAGATACTGTTGAGCGCTACTCTGTCACAGGATCCGGAAAAATTGAATAGACTGGGCTTGTTTCGACCAATTTTATTTACCTCGGTCGTTATTGACTTCGAAATAGATAATGATTTAAATCTTGACGAGCATTGTAAGAACATCGCACGGTGTTATGGTAATCCTAGTGAATTGACCGAAAGGATTGTACAATGTCTGCCTCAGTACAAGCCACTCGCACTTTATCGGCTGCTCGTGCAAACTCAAGATGTTGAAAAAACACTAGTTTTTACAAATTCGAGCGAATCGGCCCACAGACTGGCCATACTTTTACAGTCTTTATTAAAAAGTAAGAATATATCGGTCGGTGAGCTTTCCGCGCAGCTGGGCTCTAAGCAACGAGAAGAAACTCTTGAAAAATTCATTCGTGGCGCATCTCGAGTGTAAGCTTTAATTCAAATTTATATCCACACACATTTACTTCTAAAACTGTCTTATAATTAATTTCACATTCTAAAAACTGTACGTGTTCCTTGCATTTATTTATTATGAGACTTCATATATTTTTTTAATCTCTTTTTCTTTCTTTCTCTCTCTCTCTCTCTCTTTCTTCACAGACTCGTTAGTTCCGATGCATTAGCCAGGGGCTTGGATATACCGGATGTTAAACTCGTTGTATCTTACGATCTTCCAAAATATATAAAAGGCTACATCCACAGGGCTGGGAGGACGGGTAGAGGTGGCTTACCCGGAACGGCTGTGTCGTTGCTTCTGCCAAATCAAGTAGATTTATTTACTAAGATGTTGAAAAAAGTTGGCCGAACGATACCCATTGGTAAGCTGGAGAATTTAGACGATCTTGCCGAGTCGATAAATTATGAGAGTCATTTGGAAAATTTGAAAGATTTATTAGCCAATGAACAGGGAGAGAATCTTCGTCGACTGAAATCCCGTAAAAGTATTGTTAAGTCTTGAATAAATTGGCAATATACAAAAGTATAAGCGACTAGAATAAAAATAAATTGTACAGTTTTGTTGAATAACATCGATAATAACATTTTATTGTCTGAAGTTAATAATATTATTATACATAGGTATACTCCTCTTTATTTGCTCCCATCATCGTTCTCTCGCACATTCACAAATATGCACCGCATCACTTAATAGATGACCTTTCTTAAAATTAAATTTAGCGAATTTCAATGATTATTATATCGCTCACACTCGCTTGGCCAAGGCAATGATTCATAATTCCATAATTCAACATGATGACATAAGTAAAGACGTTGCTAGCAATTTTCTTACTCAAATTGTTACTACAAGCTTTTTTCACTCAAATATTTCATTAAATATAAACAATTTATTTAATAAAAGCGTGAACGATCGTTCTATTATATAAATTTCGCTATGAATAAAGCTGCCTGTGTGTTCGTCGTTTCGTTGTATCGAGTGTGTCGAAGTCTCGAAAGAACGTGGCAGTATAAAAACAAAATTTCTTTCACGTGTTTACCTTGTATTTTACAAAATCCAAGGTTCCTTCGAAAATGAAAAATTTTGTATTCATGAAATTTTAGCAATTTTGCAATCTGATTGACATTAAAGCAGTAGTATGCATTTTTGTTTTTTATTTTTTTTTTGTTTCAAAAGCTGTAAAATCGTGCTAATTCTCAACTATTGATTACGTTAGCGTAATTTGCATTTTATCATTACAATTATTATTACATTTCTTCTTCTGGTTTTTTTTTATTTATTTCTTTTTTTGTACAAAAATAAGATAATCTAAATAGAAAATAAAAAAATTAAACCTAAAGCTAAAATTGTATTTAGCGCGTTTCATATTAAAGGACTGATAAATTGAAAGAAATTAATTTTCAAAATTTGTTTGACTTTCAGTTCAAATATAACGAATTACATTAAGAAAATTGCATTATTTAGACTCTGTCGTGTAAAGTTGTCAAGTGAGATTGAAACGATAAGCAATTATAATAATGAAAATTTCAATTTGATTAAATTAACAATTCAACTACTATTATCGAATTAAAATAATTTTAATTTTAATTATTGTACAATTTTTTAATTTTGTAAAATTTTTATTTTGATTTTCCTTGAATTGAACTTTATAGAATTTCGTTAACCAATGTCATATCATTGCAACGATTATATTTATATCAAAGATTTATTAGGTAATATTACTATAAACACGCTTCCTATAAATTTTAATAAAAATTTTGGCCTTTATTCAATTTATATGTGATTGTCTACTAACGGAATAATAGAAATAAATAAATTTTTATTTTAAGTAAGGCCCATAGTTAAAAATTATTCTTTCAAAATTCTTCAGTTATAGATCGGTATTAATGACTCTAAACGTTAAATTAAATTAATGAAAGCACATTAGATACTTGGATTACTCTTGTATAATATTTAAAATGTCGTAAAATTTATTAATAAAATAAACTTTATGCTTACGATAAGAGTATCGTGTGCATGAAATATTTGCTTATCGAACGAGTTTCAGTTTTGTACACACATGCGTAGATAAATTTATATTTTAAAAATTATGACGATAGATTAAAATATACGTAAAAAATTATTTATTAATTTATTTTTAATGTAATTTTATGTATACAATCATTTAAACTGAAAGTCAATTTGCATTCGCTTAACATTTGATTTGTAAGTTTTACAAATTTTAACGTAATTTAATCATAGATAATACCAACAAAATTAAATTTTCAATTAACACATATTAAAAGATTAAGATTTAGTTAATAAACATTGTAAAAAATATAAGAAGCTCTCAATGAATCTCGTTTCCTTTTTTTTACGATATGCGCATGATGTTTTGTTACAAATTATATTGCGTATTAAAAGCATAAAATTGCCAAAGCCATCTATTGAAAGAGGAAAAAATTCACATTTTATCAGTTTTGTGCAGCAAAACAATTTATTATAAAATCGTAAGATATGCATTTTTAAGTTTCACTGTTGATTGTTCGACGATAATTATACAGAAAGCATATTCTCTCTATATTTAATTGTTTCAAACATTATTTATAGGACTTGTGGTTTAACAACTGAGAATGTCAATTTCCATGCCTGATCGAGTTTATTACAATATACGTATTTATTGTCGTGATACATCGCTGTTTAAAGCGAAAATTATTTCGTGACATGCGAATTAATAAGTAAAGCACCTTGTGAGTTTTTTTATCGCATGGTACTCATGTATTTATATACCTCACACGTTTATTTATACATTCTTACAAGAGTTGACGATATATTTACATTATCATTATGTCAACAGTTTTTATCGTTAAAATTATTATTTAACATTAATAAAGAACTTTTTATTCTTTTTCCTTTCAATTGAATAATTAAAAATTATTCTCTATTATTTATACACGTGATTCGTTCAACAGCATTCTAATTGAAATTAATTTCCATGCTTTCGTGGTAATATTGTTGAAGTAATGGAAATAATTACGAATAAATGTTGATAATATTGATTAGCCTCGTCCATAACTAAATTGTTTGAGATATCGAAAAATGAAAACTTATTTCAATTTTAAGAACAGTTTCAAAGTTAAATATAATATTCTTAGAAATAATATCTCCTCCCCTCTATCTCGTTCTCTATCTCGTCGAGCTCTTAATTAAATTTATACTAAATTAAGGCCAAACAATTCTACTGTGAAAATAACCGATTAAACTGGCCATAATCAAATCCATTGATCAATTTAACTTATAATATAATTTATAAGTTTTTTTAACGTGGAATCCTAAGGCGCGTATTTGACGAAAATTTTTCTTTAACAATTCGCGCCTCTTGTTTTTCAATCATAATTAAGCGTAAGTCATTATTCAACGCATAATAATGTCCAAAGCATACACCGGTAAGGGAATCTGATTAAAGTAAATATTGGCGTTACGTGGCTGAATGTAAATTTGGTCTTATCTCTTTAAAGCGTAAATGCCATTCAGGACTAAAAAAAGAAAAAGAAAAAAGAAGAGAATAGCTCATTTATTAGGTCAGTATTCCTTAACCTACGCATTTAAATACCAAATTTAGTGATATGGATCTCTGACCTCAAATCGCTCCTCGGCGATCCTCGTTATTTTGGCGACGTTTCTAACATTTTGCCGAACAACTATCGTCAATGTGCACGAGTGAATTGCGAGCGAATTAACCGACTCCATCGCGTAAATCTCATGGCGCGAACTCCGATGCGTGAAGTGCCACAGCGGTCTATCATAAAAACGGTAAGCCATGAAAGCACGTCGTAGCCTCTTCATTCATCGGACGCGCAGTCGCCCTACGTCTTCGGCCATCTACTCCTGGACGGTCCGATGTTCACCTGGATCGTCACCGAGGCGTCTTCTGGCGCAAATCAGGTCCATTTATGCCGAGGATGGAGGCTCTGCGGTTACAGAGGTCGCGCCTCCTCCGCATCTCGGTCGATAGCGCGGCTCTACGGACTCGTGCACTGATCGCCACAGGCTTAATTAACATTCCACGCGTAGTAATCCCTGCGACTCCCCCCCCCCCCCCCCCCCCCCCCCCCCCCCCCCCCCCCCGTCCCGGCCCATTCGCTCCCTTGCGCACCCGTGAAGCGGATCATCATGCAGCGGAATATATCGCTTAAGCCGAGCAAAAAATTCGCCAAATCCGTGGGAGATTTAGTTTTATGAGTTTTTGCGCGTAGCGCATCGCTAAAATATTTTCACTCGTGGTTTCGGATGTCGTTTTTATAACGACTCGCGAGCTGTAGGCGACTATTCCATTTCGACTAATTCATACATCCTGGACGTCCGATAGTCATTGACCGACGACGATTACTCTACGCCCGTCTCCATCGATTTTCTCGTGAGAAATGCTCAATCATTTGGGTACAATTAATTGAAATTCCGTTATATTAAATATTTCAACAGCAAAACATAAAACAGAGAACAATAAAAGAAATAAAAACAAACAATTGAGATTACGTTGAGCAGAGATCTTCGAATTTCAATTTTTATCGCCATAAAATAAAATCAATGTTTTATGAATTATGAAATGAAAGTTTCAATGGATTATTTTAAGCTTCGGCATTTGAAAATTCTACTTTTCTTTCCAGATTATCTGCGATTTATGTCAAATTCATTAAGAAAACATATTCCGAATAGCAATGCACAGTTTTGCATTAACCGTTCATTTAGAATTCTGTTTGTTATAACGCGTGAGACCGTGTTTTCGTACGACAGATAATCATATTATTCTTAATATGCACATTATAATTAATGTTAAATAATAATTTGGGAAAATTAATATCGTAATATATTATTCAAGACTTTTCCCGTAATTCTTTTCTCTTAATTTTTAATTAAGTCTACCATATATTGTTGATAATACTGTTTCATTTAAAAAAATCAATTATATATCGCTTACTCCTATCTACATTGTCTGATTACGTAATGCCGAACCAATACTTTGCTATTGGCACTTATTCGATATCATCTAGCGTTTTCTCCATTCGTAACGGTACTAAAGTATTTCGTCTTACTAAAGCAGTTGAATTTACAACTTTTCTCCCATTTCACATTACAATTTATATAGTTTACTATATGTATATGTATAGTATATACATTTTTTTTCTCGTGACTTGGACAGGTAAAAATCGATGAATTACTTTTTCAAACTTTGCTCGTGCATTATGCAAATTTTGGACCGATAATTGTATTTGTTCTCTCTGGCGCTACCATTTACCTTTTACTGCCAAAATTTAACTTTTATAATCATTTGAAAATCCAAAATACCACAATCTCCCTCCCTCTCTCTCTTTCTCTCTCGCGCGCGCGCGCATTTTTAATTCCTCACAATCATTCGTAATTTTATACACAAAAACTATTATATAATTATTATAAACGTATACATTCAGAAAAGTGCTATTTTTTGTAATACAATTTTTATTTTTCCAGAATACAATAATGTTTTTATATTTATCAGTAGAATTTATTTTAAATTAAAAAGTTTTAATTTCATAAAATAAATTATACCACTGTGGCGGATTAATTTAAGCAAAATTAGCATATTGTATTCAATTTATTTAAAGGGACCTTATGATGCTTTAAATTAATATATCAAATGTATTGTTATTACATGGGGGTAATATCGATAATTTTTAGTAAATACTGAAAACCTACGTGTATTAAAATATACATAATGAATACGCTTAAATCATTGACTTGGAATTGTTTATTCGATTCAAGATATTAATCTTGAATGCCTTGTTTTTTTAACGTTTTAATACAATGCAAATATATTTTCACATTTTAAACGTAATAAAATCCGTTGTTTAAGTTTTTTAAAAATAAAATTAGGTATACTTTCTCTACGTAAGTAATTTCAATTTATATTATTATACTACAAAAATATATATACTAACTTTTTCTATTGCTTTTAAAATTACTTATATTTTGCACAATGCAATTTCCATTATAGGATAATTGTAAAACATTACTAGTTGAAATATACAAAGTTTTGCCAGATTAAATTAATTACATTAAAAACATTATTTAAATATCTTAATTACAAAATTACAGCAAGTGTAATTAACATCGATTCACTCGAATATTACCTCAGGCAATGATAATCCGTATCTTATGAACTTTGCGATACATTTTCCCAATGACAATTTAATAAATATCGCTATAAATCATTATTATTCATTAAACGACAAACACAACCATTTTTAATAACTTTTTAGAGATTTATATAATCATTTTGATACTATTACGCGTATAATAAAGTAACGAAAGCATATTGCATTTTACGAATCAATTAGGTTGTATGTTTTAAATAATTATAATTAATAATGGGCATCATTTTATGTTACAACAAAAAAGCGTCTCGTTGAGAAAGCAGAATTAATTTAGAATTATATTATTATCGGCAGTCAATTTTATTTTTAAGTTTTTAAAAATTAATTATTTATAATGCTTTAGTAAATAAAGTACACCGTGAAATTTATAAATAGTACATCAATTATGTATCTTACTCTACTAACTCAAATTCATAACAAAAGAAATTTGATTAATAATTTTTTAATATAATCTCGCGTCTTATATATGATTTCTTTGCGATTAATTTGTATTTACAAGTTTTTTTTTTTTTTGGTTTTGTTTTTTTATTTATTGGTCAAATGATAAAAACATTCGATCTATGTGTAATGAATATAGATTATTCATAAATTCGCAAAATGTTGATGTTTTCAATAATTTCTCATCACTACGTACAATGAATCGAAAATTTTGATTTGAGAATCGAGTTTTTTGATTTATTCATATAAAACAGTAATATAATTAATGAGTAAGACATAATTGAACTTGTTTTTCATATGAAGATTGATTTAAGTAACAGTTTACTTAAAATTTCATACGTCAAATAACTGAATGCTATACTGTTTTTGTTAATTTTTGCTGCAGATACCCGTTATTCCGTTAATGGGAAATAGTTACACGAGTCGCGTGTAACTATTTTCAGTGGTCATAAAAGTATATTTTTAATTTTTTTTTGTTTGTTTTTTTGTTGTTTTCAGAATTAAATTTAAAAACTAATACGTTCGATATAATTTCTTAAATATTTAGCTTTTGTTAGCATTCGCGTAGTCGCGTATGGTTTCGTAAAAATTGCCGCCAATAATTGAATTCACTACACTTCCTGCTCGATCTCACCTTATAAATATAAAGGAAGACCCATAAGCGATATCCTTGATACGTCAGCCGATTAATTTTCGCTACACTTGTGCATCGTTCGATTGTACCATTGAAATTGTTCAACTCGCAGTTACAATCTGACGCAGTATGTGGCGAAGTGGCGACAATATACATAACATATTGCAATTCTTCAGAGCTTTAATATAATTCGGAAGGATGTGGAGAATCAATCGCGTAAAAGTTTTAAATCTGTGCACCGACTGAGACCTGAGCTACACGACCCGTCGTTCAAACATAAATTAATCTTCACTATTGGCGCAATAAATTGGTCTCTTGTTAAGAATGTCACTGAGATTATATAAAATTTATTATTTCCTTAATAAGGAAATTGAGCTTTTGACAATTTCAATCATTCATTATAATTAAAGCTGAAAGAAGAAAATAATAATACATAAGCTCGCGACAAAGCCTATGGAATTAAAAACTCAATAACTTCCTTTTATAAAATTGAAGTGCAATTCAATGTATTTTACGAGTAAACAAAAAACCCTTATTTTGCTCTTTCGCGAAGCCTAGTAAAATCCATTTACCGCTTAACATTAATATAACAGTCATTTTTACCAACTACCATTTCTAGAAGCCCTTTCATATTCTTCAACTATTAGTCAGAGAAATATTTACACTCCTTGTCAACTCCTTCTCCTCCTCCTTCTCTTCCTCTTTCTCCTCCTCCTCCTCCTCCTACTCCTCCTTCTTCTCCACCTAAAGAGGGATTGTCGTCATTCTCATCACCTACCCTTGTGAAAATACTGGATTGCAGAAGCTCTGTAGACGCGTCAAGTTACGTCAATTGTAAAGTATAAGGGAAACGTTAACGTTAAAGCTTTCAACGCTCGTCGTTCCTGACACATTCGAACGAACGCTCTGGCAATTACGCACTAAAAGATAAATGCGAATTCCGCTCCTAATGTTGTTTCACGAGACTCGTCGCTTTATTGCGTGCATGTCCTCACAAGGATCGCGCAGGCGCAGAGCGCTGGCAACGACAAGAGCGGGGCGCGGTCCTCTGCTCCGCTGACGAGGATCCAGGGTGGCGAGGCCGATGGGAGTGCATGTGGCCGCTCCGTCCTATGGTGACCCCTTGTCGCCTGGCCGTTGAGCGTCTGGGTGCTCCTGCCACCGACGATGCCGTTGCCTTGGCCGGCTCCGAGTCCCTCGCCGTCCTGAGCACCGTCCTGAGCCCCGTAAGTGTTCGAGATTTCGAGCTCGTCTTCCACGTGTTGGCGCTGCTCGTTCTTGCGGTTTCGGCCGCTTTTGTTCGGCTTCTTGCGCCCGGGCCTCAGGTCATTTGGCCGGAACTGCGTACCCGGCGTCGTCGTTGGGAAGAGATCGCGTAGCTCTGTAACAATAGGCGAGTTTCGTCGTTAGCGACACTAAGATTCAGCATCGATTATACACTGGGACTTAATTTTTATAGGTTTTGGGGAGATATTTCGAGTTTGAGGTGAGTGAAAATGTAGGTTAAACCTTTTCGGTTATTGCGATATGATGCTAAACTGTAACTTTGCGCGTTAAGTAAGGCTTCGATGTGAGCAGGTTTCACGGATGCAAACTATTGCACGTCATAAAAACAGAAATGCCTCTATTCATTTTTCCCCCTTTTTTTCTTCTTTTCTTTTTCTCTTCTTCTTCTTCTTCTTCTTCTTCTTCTCTCTTCCTTTACATATATTATCGATGGACGATGGATTATTAGGCCTTTTTAGAATGTATCGTATGCATGTAACAATACATCTAATAAGAGATACGATCCTTCAATTTAAAAATGAAAGTTAATTATAGCAACTCTAGCAATACTATTTTTCCCAGAACTATCAAAAGTGGTTGAATTAGTCACAAGTAGATCCTTGTTAATATGTATTATAATGTAATTAATGGAAATCAAATATGTCAATAATTTTCTTTAATTAAGTTGCACGACATAGGGGAAAATGTGGGTTTTGGCTTTATTTTTTAATATTTTCCTTTATAATAAAAATTGGCTGATTAAAATTTGAAAAGCCTTATAATGAATTAATAATCATATCCACTGTTTTTCTCCAAATGCACTTTTATACTTTTATACTTGTTTTTACGCAATAATCGTCAAATAAATAGTTAAACAGAGAAATGGTAAGATTAAATTTGATTATTTTTTCATTATAAAATTTATTTAGAAATCTAATTTAATTATTTTTATAATATTGAAGATAATACGGAATATCATATGGAGGATAATAATATTTTTATTTATTCATATAGTTCTAAAGCTACTCAAACTCGATTAAAACATTTATCCGCTCAATTAATTGGCAATGATTCGAGTTAGTAAATCAGTTTATTAAATTAAATACGTGTAAGAGTTATATTCTCGCGGTGTATCGGCGCGGGAATAATTCTTCTTACTATTCATTTAATAATAGATTGTAACTTTCGATATTCCTAATGTTTAACGTAGAATGGGAGGGTTTATTAGAAACTAGAAGCATGCCATGATGAAATCATTAATTAAGTCCCACGAATCGATAAAGAAACTTTTTCGAAATTGAATATCTAATGCAGATAATGCACGGCCACTGTCACTGTATGCAGAAATTTATCGAAGTAAGTGTGAAAATTAGCGTTCGAGCGAGCGATGATCCATTTAATTATATCATTGTACATTCCATTAAGAAATATTATAATACAAACCTTGTAATCGGACTGCACCTTCAGCTTTTCCAAGCGCATTCTCCGATGAGCAAATATAGCCGACGAAATCGGATTTTTCCAATGAGCGTATCGTCAGGTTCATTTCCCAAGAGTAGTCGTTGGTCTGCCGGTCTGTCATCGAGTACTTGTCGCTTGGCAGCAATTTGTTACCTGATGGAAACCATCACAACGAATAGCAAATACATTGTTTATGCAATTGTTCGTTTATAAACGTATTTTCATTTTTGTTTTTTTGCATGCGAATTGATGGACCGTGAGGTAAGTTGTATAGGCACGACACCCCACTCCGCCTTTCGAGAGGCCCGAAATTTTATTTCCCTAATTACGACGTCACGCAATTGCACTCATAATTGAATGTATTAATTTGAGCTGACGATTATTCGAATCGCCTCGTAAATCGAGTATTTTACGAGCGCGTTGTACGTGAAAACTCATTTATCTAGATGGCGAGCGGGAGAGCGACATCGTGCACACAGTCCTCGAAGGCTTTTTTCCGCTGGTCAAAACTCGACAAAGGTGTCCTCGAGCGCTTTCCGATATTTCCATTTCTCTTTTAAATTCGATTCTAATAACCGTGCGCATATAGAAAACGCTCCGTACGCAGCCCATTTTTTTCCGTTTTACTTTGGCTAAAACTGACAAAATCACCGTCCATCCTCGGCCGATCTTTGATACTTTCATTGCTTTCTATTTCTATATTGTTTCTTCGCAGCTGACCTTTATAAAGTACGCGCACACGTACGCACGCAGTGACACATGGACTCGTACGTATTCGCGCTACTCGCTCTATTACTTATGTACTTGGCGGGTGGGGGGGGGCAAGTTCCTCGAGGCAATTATCGAGAGAAATTCGCGCGAAGGATGTGATTGGCGCTTTGCAATTACATTAATGCTTGGCTTTCCAATAACAAATGCCGAGTGAATGAACTTCTTGGAATAATCGAAAGGCCATTCGTTGCCAAGGATAATTAATTAAAAATTAATATAATACCTTTATCGGTGAACCATGTATTCATTGCTTGTGGCGAGGCTTCCACCGTACATTGCAACACGACGTCCTTGTTAACTGGGGCACCGACAACGTGGTTCGTAACTTTAATCGATGGTTGAACTGCGAATGACGAGACTTATTATTAGAGCTTAACGCTCTCCGCCACTTTTATTCGTGCGAGCTTCTCCTCTAAATTTTGCCTAAAATGGCTATTCTTGTACGCTAGATAGCCTCATCCCGCACATGATAGAGAAATTGTTCAAATAAATAATACCAATCTTAAAGTAAAATTTTCATTCAACAAGAATCTATTTCAATTTACTCGGCGGGAAGAAGAACGTCATTTTCTACGTCATATTTATAATCTTTTTTCAATTTTGATTCGATTTGAAATATTTCATATTGAAATGCAGGTTTAGCGACCGTGAAGCAACGTGTTCGTTTCAATTTTCAAGTCAGATTCTTATTATTATTCCGAGTTGTTGTTACGCTATCGAATAATGTTATTAATTCTTAGAAAATATAGTTAAACATATGAATCTATTCAATAGAAGATAGTTTGAAAATATACTTTGAAGGCGTACAATGATTTAAGGATAAAGTAGTCACTCCATTTGAGAAATTACGCGAATATAATTTTCATATAATGTCTAGTATTTTACGGATAAAAAGAACAATAAGGATAATTTAGGAAAAGAAACAGAAAAACAAGAAAAAAATTTTTTTAATATATTAAATTATAGTGAAAATCACGAAATAAAGTGATTTATTCGAGAGGGCAATTGACGTTTATTGAAATTTCTTTTATTTTAATAAAAACTTTTTTTTTGCACGGAAATACACAATCAGTTTTTGTCTAATAATCAAAGTTGGGACATTTATTTCAGTAAAAATCTCATGGTTTAAATTTAAATTTTTTACTACGCATTTATTTTACGTGCAATTTCATTATTATGGTCGCGTAAATTTTCACATAATTCAATTACATTAAATTTGTTCAAAACAACGTTATTATAAAAATTAAACGATTGAAAGTAAAATTCAACAACAAAAAGGACTAATAATAACATCGCAAAAACATATTAGCCAATATTATTGAATATTATGTCCAATTAATTAAAATTGCTTAATTATGTTCAATAATTTCAAATGTACGCTTTAATATCTTTTGCTAATTATGTCTGTCCAATTACATAACATATTCAATAGCCGTGCAAATCAATTTTGAAAACTAATTGGGACTAACCGATTATGTACAACGGTGATTCAATTGTAACTAAGCATACTTATATTATTTTCCTCGTGTGTATTTGATCGAAGCTGTTGTAATACCTTAACAATAAGGATAAGAAATTGAATTTGAAGCATTGCATTTTTTTTTTGTTTCACGAATGCGAGCATGAAATTACAAATTCTTTATTTCCCAATCGTAATTTTACATGACCGTTAAATAATTTTTTCTTTTCTTTTTTCGTTTTCTTTTTTACAGATAATAATGCTCGGTCGCGTCTTTTAATACCATTGATTGTTTTGACACTGCGTTCAGAAATTGCGGTACATATTTCTATGTGTAAACATTTTATCTCATTTTACGACGTGCATCCAGCATCATGGAGCCTGTGTTGTTGAACAGCATTGCTTTTCATGATGCACGCGGTCCGAACAAACAAACGCTAATCTAAGGATACACGATGAAAGGGAGAGGATCGCAAGGGCGGACCACTACATCGAGAGACTCACATTGGACGTAGACGGAGTATCTCTTGCTGACGCTCGGAGGTATGCCGCTGCTGGCTATGCAAAGGTAAGTGCCCATTTCTTGTCGTAAAACGCCGCTTAGCTCCAGTGTCTCGCCCTCGTACTTTGTCAGTACTGCAACATCGTAATGGTTTATGGAGACAGGCGCGTACGAACGATTGTGTTATCATCCTCCAGGGATGACAAGTCGTTACTTCCTTACGCAAACAATGTACACTTTCGTGTTTCCCCGTATTTCGTCTTCATCCACTAATCGCTACAACCAGGCATTTTTAATGGCAAGTGTATCTATCTTGGCGTTAAAACTCGTTAAAACTCGAGTCTTTACTTCCTTTATTCGGCTAACTTTGGGCTTTCAAATTTTCCCTGATATTTCCGATGTACGTCAATTTATTTAACTACTTTAGTTTTATAAATAAGCTTGGAGCTGACGCCGCCTAAAGCTCTAGGGGCCCTTTGATTTCTGTCGATCTTTATAGAAATGTAGATTGCAATGTAGCTGATAAATTGGACTTTTTTATTTTTTGTTTTTGTTTTAATTTGTTAGGCTCATAAACGACGAAGTACTGTCGAAGAATTAAATTTCAAATTCGTATACGACAAATTGAGATAAGAGTCGCACTTTATTTGCATGAAAATGAGCTCTGGTCTTTTCTCTTTATATTTTGAATAATAAGTCAAGTTTTCACAATTTTAAAGGAAATTTAAAAATTTTCATATATACTGCCGCGCTACTAATTAAATTATCCAATAGAACTATATTATCATCTTTTCCGCCTTTTTGAAACATTCGTCGAAATTCAAATGAAAATGATAAATTTAAGTTTTGAATAATTTCATTTCAACTGTATAATTGCATTTATCAAATAGACATAAGTTGTCGAGAAGTTACTTTTCTTTCGACATTAAATTAGCTTTTTAAACAAAATTTTCAATGATATTTGCCAAATATTCGATTGTACGGCCCGATAGTACGAAATTATATTTATTAAGAAAATAGGAAAAATTAGTATTTACTTTTTAGTATATACAATTATATATAAAGCTTCTGCTTGTTTCTTTGTTTATATTTTTCGATTTCTCGAGCTTTTTCATTTCATATATCGGTATTTAAAGAGAATTTTGTAAATATTGTAAAAAAAAGAAAGAAAAAATCCGAATGTGCTTATTGGAAAAATAAAAGACAAAAAAGAGTACAATACAAAATAAAAATTAAAAAAAACCACAAGATAATGGATAATCAAATAATCCGAATACTTTATTAATTAGATTTAATATTGAAATATTAATTGCAAATATTTGTGGAATGTATGCCATAACATATAATGTGACAAGTTTATAAATTTTATATAATCGATGTTCTATTATTGAATCTAGGAATATTTTTCATAATCGACGCTATACCGACTTTTATATAATTTGTGCACGTGTCCAAGCGTCTATACAAAAATACAAAAATTTTATGTAAAAATTAACATTAGGAATTTTCATTGTTATATTATAAGTTATATTGAATCGATAAACGAGCATTGTTATAGTATTATTTCTATTTAACAAGATGTTCTAATGTCTAATATTACGCCATGTAAAAATACACTTGCCATCGAATCTTAATTATTAATTATGAGAAATAATATTAAGTAGCGAATGTTGATTATGTTAAAAGTAAAAACATGAAATATAAGTTCTTTTTGTGAAATTTCGAGGTCAATAAAGTATGCGGGTAATTTTTTTTTATTTAACAAAATATGAATCCACATAGCAACGACATTAGAATTATTAAAATTTTTGGACAGTTTCGATACTAAAATTAATCGCCAATTTATTACATAAAAGTTAATTAAAAAAGAGAGAATACAACACGAAGAATTCGTAAAATTATAAAACGTATGATAAAAATTTTACAATATAATAGCGCGAATTTACCAAATTCACATTGTAAATAATTGAACAATTTTAGATGGGTAGAATGTTCCAATGCATAATATCTAACATTAATTGATGGTCAACCATGAAAAAGAAAACTACATTCATGCAAATGCGCAGTTTGATAAAATTAAGAATTTCCACTCATTCCACTCCTTCTTCGCCTGTTCTATTATTTTGCAATACAAAAAAAATACAAGACAATCAAAAAAGAAGAAAAATAAAAAAATTAATTGATTATTATTCATTCATCTAAATAAATATATGTTTTTGAATTTAATTTCGGATTCATCTTATATGAATACTAATCAAATTTGATCGATATTAACGAAGAAGTGATATTGGCATATTCGCTTTATAAATCATTAAATAATATAATCGTACAAGAATCACGTATGAACGATTGATCAAATAACGTTATCACATAATATTACGTATTATGCATTGCAAGCAATTCACGGATTACACGTGACATAAAAGAAATATTCCCTTTTATAAATCCGGCTATTCCATCTCACTTCAAAAATAATTTACACTTACATAAATAATGATAAATTAATATAACCGAATATAGAAAATGTAACATTACGTTTCTTCTGTCCATTATCGCGTAGGACTATGTTACGTCCATCTTCGCGCTTCCATGTGACATTGGGCTCGGGCGATCCTGTCGCCACGCAGCGTAACTTGATATTGCCGCCCTCGTGCGCCACCAGCCCTTCTGACGTTCCGTCTATGATATCGGGTGGAATGACGACAGTCATGTAACCCATCTTCAAAGACAGAGAGACAGAGAGAGAGAGAGAGACAGTGACAGAAAGAGAGAGAGAGAGAGAACGATAGAAACAGAGAGATAATAGGGAGAGAGAGATAGAGAGGAAGAGAGAGAAGAGAGATAGAGAGGAAGAGAGAGAAGAGAGATAGAGAGGAAGAGAGAGAAGAGAGAGAGAGAGAGCAAGGAAGAGAGAGAGAGAAGAGAGAGAGAGCATTATGAAAAAGTAAAGAGCAAAAACTGTCTATTGTATTATTTGTGCTCGTAACGTGCGCTTTAACCTACTTTTTGTGCGTACGTACATTTTTGTTCTTTTTTTTACTTTTATAGTACACTAGAGCTGCTATTTATTAATTTAATTTTAATTTATTTGCGTGAGATGCGAGAATGCGAAAAAACAAAAGGCCTGAGAAACATTTTAATTGTTGAAGGGATACTGTTAAAAGCAAGATTATTGTAATGTCTAACGGCCGTTTTCCCACGGCCACGAGACACTCGCCGCCTCGGGTTATCTCGTTGTCACGTGGTATAAGTTAATATTAACGCTTTCGAGTACAAGATGCACTGTATTATATATATATATATATATATATTAAGGTTAAATCGCAATGTTTAAGCTGAAATTGCTTTACTCTGGATAACTAAATTCATCAATTAATCATCAAATTTTAAATACTGACGTTCGACGATTGTTACATGTTTTTAAATTTAAATTTAATAAACATAAATAGACGAGCGTTTCTTGCCTTTGATAATCATCCCCTCTTGTGTTAATTTTTATACGATATTATAAAATTGTTTATATTGTGATAATATTGCCGTATCTACGAAAATACGACAAGTTAGAGACGTTAGTAAAAATAAAAAAACAAAGTGCCTAAGGAAAGTGAGATTAAATTTTGTCAGGATGGCTGTAAAAAACTTGCGGTAGAGTTTGGAATTTTATCGTTTGGTAAAATATTGAAAGGCTATCGATTATTATAACACTTGTGTCCTCGAATTGTAACTCTATTAAATGCAATCCTTGAAATTTAATCTCACGTATTAATTAGCGCGAAACAAATTCCACGTTGTTTCTATAAATAGTAGTGTCAAAATACTTGTTAAATAAATGAAATATTTAACGGCCCGAATAATTCGATACTTGGGCTGATAAATGGATTCTTTAACATTGAAAATAGATAGATGAAAAAGAAAAAGGAAAAGCCCGAATCCAATACACGACGATTACGCGACTGGCAAAAACGTGAGTTTGAAATTAAAAACTTTCGGTACATTTTAATATGGAGTATTGGATTCCAATATTTAAATATGCAAATAAAATCGGGGCCAAGACTCACCTGACTAAGCATCGGCTCGGTATTGACTTGGCACATGTAGGTGCCGGAGTCGTTCTTCTGAACGTTCGAGATGTGGAGCTTCCACGTGTTATGGCCGTTGTGCGTGACGGACAGTCGGGGGTTGTGTGCCACTAGGTGAGTGTGTATGGCTAAAATGGCGCGCGAGTCTGATTTTATCCAGGCCACCTTGAATAAACAAGCGAGGACAAATGCGTCAATCGACTCGTTTATCCTTCCTTCATCTCATTATTATTCTATTATTATTATTATTATTATTATTCTCGTTATCGGACACGCTTTACGTTTGCTGCATTTTTAACGCGTCCGTTGTTTAAGACGATCGTTAGCTTTAAATGGCTTGGGATATGCTAAGCTCGTTTTCTCCATTTTGTCGTCTGCTCGAATGGATGGGATATATCTGCCGGTCGTTGTCTACGTTAATTCGTTAATTATTGCATTTAGTTTGCTGTTTATGGATCGATTTCATTGAAATCCGAGCGTTGAAAGTAAACAACCGCCACGGACAAATGTCAATTATATTAAGCATTGACATATAAAAGAATTAATATACGCGTAAATTGAGAGAGAAAAAAAGTAAAAACAAACAACAAACGCGTATAAATCGATCGATCACTATTTTTGCATTAGTACAAATAGATTAATAGAGGGCGATTGTATGATTGTAGCGAGTGTATTTATCGTTATATAAAGGCTATTGGGGCACATTGATTTTCATTACTCAAGGAAATTTCATTTTAATTAGGGAGTGCTTTGGAGCTCACGTTATTGCCTTAACCGAGAATTTTTATCCGCAAAAATGCTTTCGAAAATTAAAAATATTTACTACGGATTATCATCTAGAGGTGCCTAAGGGCAATTTGACTACTCGGTATGACGTGCGCGTACGCCATAACGATCTTTCTATAATAATAAGGGAGAGCATGCCAGGCGCACGTCTTTCAGGAACTCATTTTCCTACACGTTTAATGCCCGAATATAATGGTCTTGGTCACATTAAGGCGCAGCACGCAAATAGATGTTCAGCAGCCAGAGTCGATTAATCTTACCTTGTAAGACTGCAGATGATTGACAACGCAGGTAAAGGAGACGTCGCGTCCCTGTATGACCGTGTGGTTCTCCAGCGGTGCCAAAAATTCCGGCATAATCTCCGGGGTTATTTGACCTGCGATTAATTTACATTAGCCGATTAGAAGATCGAGGGCCAAAATGGATGGATTGGCTCGCTCTTGGGTAGTGTGATTGGAGCGGGGTGGTGGTGTCTCTCTCTCTCTCTCTCCCTCTGTCTCTGTCTCGAGGCCAAAGGCCTAAAACTTGACAATGTCGCTCGACTCGCCCGCACACGAATTTGTTTCGATACTTTGCAATTCGCGGTGCGGCAAGTCCTCGTCTTACCGTTCAATCCCGAACCAACGCCGACAGATAATACGGCGATGTATCCGCACGTAGGCGAGTGCAGCCGGGAAGCGCGGCTCGGTCGAATTTCTCGCATGCGCTCGTGCAAGAGGAGCGATAAATGGAAAAATTCTTGAGTCTCGCAATCGTAATCCAGCGTGAAGGGAAGGGGCTTTTGCCGTGTAGCGCATCAGGCACGGAGGAAGAAGGGTTTTATAGTCAGGGAGCGAGCGAGCACCGGCGGAATTCTAATTTTGCATTTAATTCTTTATTCGACTGCCGCGAACACGCCGTAAGCCACTTTGAGCTGCTAAGAGCCGCCGTTCCCGCTGTCTTCGTCCGTCTCCTCCTCCTCCTCCTCCTCCTCCTTTACCGTTCCCTCTTCTATTTTATGCCACTGGGATAGACAGAGAGAACGAGAGAGAGAGAGAGAGAGAGAGAGAGAGAGAGAGAGAGAGAGAGAGAGAGAGAGAGGGACAGTAGGTTTTACTGTGTGCACGTGTGCGAGTGTGTGAGATACAAAAATGCGAGACCAGCTCAACGCGCTCATGATGAGCTTTTCGCGAATCTCGTCTTCTAACTGTGTCTTTTCTTTCTATCTCCCTTTCCTCCCTTTTCCCACCCCCTCTCACATTGCCAAACTGCTTCTTCCTCCTCCTGCTCCTCCTCTTCCTCCTTCTCCTTCTCCTTCTCCTTCATCATCCTCCTTCTCCTACGGTTTCCTTCCTTTTTCCGAAGCCAACGAGAAATGCATACGTGTGTATATACCTGGAAGAGCTACTGTACTTCTTTATAAGCCTTGGGAGCACTCGTACTTGAGAATTTTTACTTTTCTCTCTCGGCCGCTTTTCTTTTTTCAATAGGAATTCGGTTTAAAAAGGATTTTCAGTTTTATATGACTTAGAGATGATTCCCTCTGGTGAGCGATTGAGCCAAGTCGAGATGAAATTCAAGTATGCTTGGAAGGATTTATTTTTAGCGGCTAAGGACATTATGTCTGCCAAGGTTGTAATCATGGATTTACTTGTTTGAGCTCTCTCGCCTACGTGTACTGGACTTTTTATAATGCTGTATTTTATACAGCTGTCAGGATTATGTTGAAAGTGCAAAAGAGAAATTACTCATACTCGCTACGTCTGATTCTTATAATAGCAAATGTGGCTTATTATGATTATGAAAGGCTGACATTAACATGGAGACGCACAATCGCGGCAAATCTACCTATACAGAGGCAATAGACTCTAGCATACAAAATCATCATTATCGGCGTTTCATTTTACTTCAAGTGAAAATTTGATGTTCCGCGTTATCGCTTAGTTCATTTTCACTAAGACGTGCAATATACATTATTTCATCGAGCGTGTCGCATTAAGGTCGCGAAAATCCTCGTTTTATAATTAATACGAAGAATGATTGTTTTAACCAGTCAATGGCGTACAATTTAAAAATGTCGCGCCCGAAACGAAAGTTTCATCCATACTCTCACCACCGCGTGTCACTCGCTCGCGCTCGATCTTCAGCTTAGCTAACTCTCATTCAATAGACAATGACTCCCTAAAAACTTGTCGTCGATACTTTCTTGGATTTTATGCTCGAGAGGATTCGACTCGAATATGCGAGACTCAAGGATGTGCGGAAATAAAGTAGAGGAAAGAGAATCGGGCAATCAGGCAACTCGTACCTATGAGCGCGTGGAGTCAAGTAATGTTAAGTCAAGTTTCCGAGAGTTCCTGGATCCGAGTAAACGTTTATAGTAAACTTCCTTGGGTGGGAGGACCCTCGAGCTCATCTGTGTTATTGTCTCTCGAAACTTGATTCGATCATCGGGGTATACGGATAAAAATGAACGAAGACAAAGTCAGGCGAGCGGGATGGTGTCGAAGGGATGGGAATATCCATGGATAGTTTCCATGCAGAGGAGAAAAATCAAAGAAAGCCGAACAATGGAGGTCGAGAGAATCAGCGAGGACGAAGGATCGCTTCCCCCGCCAACTCAATGGCCAAGGTATATAGTAGGAGCTGGAATATCGGAATAATATAGAGTTACGACGGAGCGAGTTTGTCTCGTTAGCATAATCTTGAGCGAATGCGAATTCGGACTATTCTCGCTGTGTATATATAACCTTCGTCGTGTGAAAACGATCGGTCGTCGTCGTCGCCGTCATCGATATCTCGAAGCTTTCGCTTCGCTTTTCTCACGTACACCGAGTCTCTTTTAAAGGTTCAATTTCGTGCCCATTGCCTTAAATTTTTAGGCTAATAATTCTTTCCTCTTTACTTTATGCTGTTTTTCACTTGATTATTCGCTCGTTCGTGACTTTGTAAGCGTACATAGTTGCCGAGATAGAAAGATATAAAGCGCAACGAATGCGACCTTTTCTCTTCCTTTTTCCTTTTTTTCCATTTAATTTGTATCGAATGACTTTCGTGCAATTTACTCTTACGATTGCATTGCGGAATAAGAGACTTATTTAATGCTTTTCAAGCTCGCAACTTCTTACGCCAATAACAGCCAAATTAAATATTTAATCCTATAAAATTCATGATTAAATAGCCAAAACGTCTTTAATTAATGACGAAAAAACAAAATATAAACAAAATATTAAATCATACAACTGTTTAATAATATACAGTATTTATCATTTAGATCAACTAAAAATGCTAATGATAGACTATAAAGGTAATAGGAGGCATTGCTTTAATCCATAAATATAAAAAACTACTATAAGAAACTACTATTTATACTTTTTTTGTTATTGTTTTTTACTACCAAGAATTCTTAAGAATGAAAGAAAAGAAAAACAAAAAACAAGAAAGAAAAATGGATGGAAGTGAAAATCCGACATTAATTTCACAATAAATTGATAGTCAACTTTAAAGCGATAAGTTTCTATGGCTTGGAAGACACGATGCTTAAATACCTTGTAAGTTCCTTTTTATTGCTAAAAGCTTATATATTCTGGCCAAGCTCAATGCCTCTTGAAAATTCCGAGGAGCCGCGGTGCGTTCCGTTCTTTGGATAATCGCACGCGACTCGCATTCTACTTATTTAAGAGCAAACTATTTAGTCCCACACCGTATCGCTTTAACGAAACTCCTCGTGCCGCTTTCCCGGCTTATTTTCCGCACACGAGACATTTTCTTACTCGTCCAATTTTCTTCCTATACAAATATAAACGCGTGTCGCTCTCTTTCTGCCATAAAAACAATCCCCCCTTTGCAAAAAAAAGAAAAAATGGACAAAAAAAGTAAAAAAACCACTTTCCGTCTCGCTTCATTTTAGTGTTAGCGAACGCATCCAACCAACTATCTGTATCCTTATGCCTACACTTCTACAAATTCCTCTCAATACACATGTCTACGTTTCGTATGTTTCTGTATCTCCGCATCTCAGCTTATCGTTCGTACGTATGAGACAAACCAGACTAAGACAGCGAATGCGATGGTGACATTGAGTTTCCTACAACAGCGCAAGAAAATTCACTTAGAACACTTTCGAATTTAACATCCTTGATGTATCTGTATGTGCAACGTATATATGAGTGTACTTTGCTAGCTAAATTGAAAAGTGTTCCACGTGAATTTTCTTCGCTTGTTTGTATATATATACAACCCGCAGTCGGATTTTTCCAGTTCAACAACGACGATGCGCGCCGTAATCTAAGTACGCCCTTTTATACCTCGGAATCGCATTCAAGACTACTAGTAGTTCGACTTTGTTTTCTCCTTTCATCTCGTCCTTCTGGACGTCTTATTCTACTTGTTGTTGTTGTTGTTGTTGTTTTTGTTTTTTACTGTTTCGCTTGTTTTCTGCAATTTACCGAAGAGCTATCATTTTCTTGTGATCGCCACATATATAAATCCTCCTTGAATTGTATTTGTTTTTTTATGCCCTATGAGATTTTTCATTGTTTTCTCACGCGATTCAGTTACTGTAGATGGAATGACAAATTATTCTATAATAGATTCGATTGGAACGTATGCTATCTAAGTAGCTACACTCGGCTTTAGTCAGACGACGAATTTTATTAATCTTATGCTGAACGAATTAAACACGAACCACAGCCAATTATTGATTATTAACATTTTACAATTTTTTTGAGAAAATTGAATAATATTTGTAGAATGCATGGAACATTTTTTTAAAATATTTAAATTAATACAAAATTTTAATGCGTGAGATAATAATGTCTTTAAAATTAATGACTTTACGAGGCAAGAAGCGACGATGATTTGTGTAAAAAATTCAAATTTAATGGATTGATCGAATAATATCTTAGCTTATTTTTAAGGAAAATCTGATAAAAGTTAAACTTCTTGTAGCGAATTTTGAATATGTATAAGTTAATTAACTAAATTTAATAACCATAACATGACATACAGAGATTTGCATATTTATGTATATTATAAATCGCGTATTTTGAATATTAAATTAAGAACAGTATTCAAGTTTTCTCATTTGAACTCAGTAATATTATCGTGAACACAATGTTTTTCTAAATGAATACTATTTCAAGACGAAGTTTTCATTTGTAGCTGTGGATATGAATTCATATGTCAAATAATGAAAATTTAAAGCTTTATTCAATATATCAATTAAAAGTACTAGAAAATATATGGAAATTTCATTGTATTATTATAAATTTTACTTTGAATGCAGTTAATATTTTTTTACCGTTCAGAATAAATTTTAATAGATAATCATGTGCTAAAGAAGAACTTTAGTGTTTCACGAGCTTTTACATATTGGTACTTCAATATTTAAAGTAA